CTCCAGATCTCAATCCTATAGAAAATCTTTGGAGGGAGTTGAAAGTCCGTGTTGCCCAGCGACAGCCCCAAAACATCACTGCTCTAGAGGAGATCTGCATGGAGGAATGGGCCAAAATACCAGCAACAGTGTGTGAAAACCTTACAGAAAACGACTTACAGAAAACGTTTGACCTGTGTCATTGCCAACAAAGGGTATATAACAAAGTATTGAGAAACTTTTGTTATTGACCAAATACTTATTTTCCACCATAATTTGCAAGTAAATTCATTACAAATCCTACAATGTGATTTTCTGGAGAAAAAAAATCTCATTTTGTGTACCTATGATGAAAATTACAGGCCTCGCTCATCTTTTTAAGTGGGAGAACTTGCACAATTGGTGGCTGACTAAATACTTTTTTCCCCCACTGTATGTAGTAATTATTTTTATATGACTGTAGCCTGCTACTAATGTGCAGTACAATATGGTTGATATACCCAGCTATCCCTGGGAACTGAGAATAACCGACACCCTGCAAGCTGGCATAATTGAAGCCTGAGGCTGTGCTGGGCTGATGGCTGGTGATGTCGTAAACCATGTCCACTGTCAGTGCCGAAATTAAGAGACAAACAGATCCAGCAAATCAAGGCTGTGTCACCAGCTGAATCCGAGACATGAATGCCTTGGTATAACCATGCTATATGGTGCAGTGAGTCAGTGTCAATCATCGGGCCCGGCTCCACAAGGGGCCAAAAGGGGGCTTAGCCCCCTCAGTTGAAACTTGTGCCATGTCAATTTTCTGTCTCTATATAAAAATAGCAAAAAATGGGCAGAGCGGACAAAACAGCATCATGGACAGAGCGCATCGTGGAGTGTGTGGGGGGCTATGGAAAGCCACTGGGTGGTTAGATATGACTCCTTTGGGTGTCCATAAAAAGCGGGGGAAACGTTGCTCATCTATGTAAGGCTAAGTGAATATCGTGGTATGCCTCAGTCTGTAATATTTGATTTTGATTTATAAGGATGGGGTCAAGTTTACAGTTGAAGATGCTTCACTCAACTCAGCCTCACGCCCCACCACTACAGAGTTCAGTAAGCTTCTTAGCCAGCTGTAAAAGGCGTTAGTGTTAGTAGCCTATTTCGCTCTAACCAGCTAATCTACCACTGCCACGATGGTTATCAGAAATCCAACCACTGAGGCCGCCACCAAGCCCACTAGCCTTCCACTAGTGCTGCCAAGATAATGGCTCCACAGTCCGCTCCACCTCCAACTGTTCCTGAAGAGCTTGGAACAGAGGAGCCAGCCCAGGTTAGCCTATATAATCCTACCCTAGCCGCAAGTATTCTGTAATATTTTTTTCATTTAATAGCAACTGGTTCATAGGAAGAGAGTGGCTGGAATACTCGGTTACTGCAGATGTGTCACTTCTTGTTCAAAAGCACTCATTGGTCCTGGCATTTTAACTTTTATTTTTATTGTGGTATAGCGTGATATAAGCAGAATTCAATATAATTGCAATGCAATAACCCAAATGGGTATAGCTACATATCGGTATGTTTCATCATAGAAATAGATAGCCTACATTTTATTTCTATGATAGCCGATCGCTTTTCATGTTTGCAAATGGAACTGTACGTATTGGAAATGTGTTTATGGTAGGCCGGCATTGCTTAATTGATTACGTGGGTCGGTCGAATTTGGTCCACAGAAGTGTATTGGGCCATATCGCAATGTGTGGCTGAACTAGCCTAAATATAGATTGTGTCATGCCTTTATCGATCAGATATTTTGTTTATAGGCTTATAGTAGGCCTACCGCTGTTCTGTTCCGTTCGCATTCATTCGTTCGCATTTGCAGTTGTGTTGGTATTCAAAGCCAAACTGCTATCCACTATTTTTGTTTTGCATTAATAACTAGGCTACTGCTTTCAGCTTTTAGTTTGCGTTATTTTGATAAGACAGCTGTGTGCAGGGCTGCACTCACATAGTCTGTTTGTAATAGGTTAATTACCCTATCTATCTTGCAACCTACTGTATATTCATTGCCAAAATGGCTTTGCTTTAGTGTGTAGGGCGCTGTCCATTGTACTGATACAGCGAAGCAGAGATAGGGTACAGATTCCGTTCCGTTCTGTCACTTCAAAAGCACTCAATGGTCTTGGAGTCTTGCTGTACTTTCTCGCGCTGTCATGTCCTTTATCCAGTTTCCGTTTCTTACACCTCGTTTTCATCTTTTTCACCCCTTCTTATCTCCTCCCCTTCTCCCCACCTTAAATGACAGAGCAGGAAATTGCCCCCATGAAGTCCCTTTGTTTTTATTCATCAGGGCCAAGGGTTAAAGACCGAAAACATATTTCTGGCTCTTTAGATTCCTAGTAAGACATACTTGAACAATGACAAATTATCAAAGAATCTCCACTGCAGTTGGATGTGTGGAAGATGTATCTATAAAGCTCATGCTTCCCTTCTCAACAACACCAGTCTGTTCTAACTTAACACTAATATGCTTTTATTCACAATGTCGTGCACCCAAAGGGAACATTGCATTTCTTCAGGAGGACTGCAATGTGTGTGCCGATGGTCACAGACCTAAGGGGGTCCACACTCCTCATCAAAGAGTGCCCAAGAAAGTGCCTGCATGAAGATTAACTCCAAAAGTTGTGACAATGCTCCAGCTGTTACCTATCTAGAGCCAGCTATTGTTGCTGGGCCACCCCCATGGGATGTGGGCCCTGAGACCTCCCTGGCACTTCACACAGCGACTCCATAACAACAGGCACTGTCGGGAGCTAATAGGTTCTGGTTTGTGTCTGTCTGTGTGTGTGTGTGTGTGTGATGGGGTTCGGGGCAGCTGTTAGAAACCCTTGTCTCTCATCAGAGCAGTTGAGAGCCCAGGTCTGCTTGTAGGTGGAACAGCACCTCCAGGGATAAAGAAATGGGCTTATTTGGAGTGCCTGCCTTTCTGTGGCCGGCCATTAATGCATTGCCATCAGATAGCAGTTGTGTAAAGGGGCCCTGTTGCTGTTGCTGAGCAGATAAAGGGGGTCTAATGTACTGTAAGAGGGAAGTGTGTGTATGTGTGTGTGTGTGTGTGCGTGCGTGCGAGCTTGCACGTGTTCGTGTGTGCATGCCTGTGTGTGTGTTTAAACACTAAACAGAGGTTGGTCTCTCTAGGGTTTTTCATGGTTCAGATGCAGGCATGGCTTGACCCCTCACTGACCCGTCTACCTCGTTAAATCCGGCAGGCACAGACGACACATTTGCGCTTCCATACCGTTTACAAGATTCCACGGGTCAAAAGGTGCAGGGGGTTTACGACAAGAACAACAGCAGACGCAAGTTGCCCCACGTCGCGAACGGAAAGTGAGGCAGAGGTAGACATGACTGCCAAAGGCATCAGGCTTTTTACAGTAGTTGGATAGGTAATGGTAGAATAACAGACAACCCATGTTTGTCTTAGAATACCCAGATAAGATGACAAACAAAGTCATAGAGGACTGAATTAGCTCTGTTAATTCCTGTATTACCGTTCGCTATAAGGCTAACTCCTATTGCCTCTTCCACCCTGTGAACAGGAATGCGATCTAAGAATAGGGTTGATATGGCAACACCTCCAGTACACCTATCAGCAGGCCAGCCAGGCAGCTCTCCGTCCACCAACGAGGAGATAATAGACTGATAGATCAAAGTGACGTTGCCAAATCTGCACCGCTACTATGCCACCCAGCCCTGCTATCCCAGGAGCGTGACCGACAGGCCCCTTTATCCTGCTCCATGTCCGTCAGAGCCTCGTAAATCTAACGAACACACACGCACTCTCTCTCACACACACAAACACCCGCACCACACCACACACACACCTCCTCCTCCTTTCACCCTCCATTCTCTGAGAATTAATTCAGCACCTTGGCATTGACCACTGCCCCTTCCATTACTCATTACTTGCCTGCTGACATCCGCCTAAAAATAGTGCCCCTCACCCTTTAGGGAGCACTATGGGAACTGGGTCTTGACTTAGTGGATCAAGAGGGGCACACACTAAAGCTTGACTACGACTATAACATTTCTATTGAATGTTTTATGACTGTCTTTTAGATATGATTGGGATTTGAATGTGTGAATCTCTCTCTATATGACACACGCTGTCTTTCTCTGGTTTCGCTGGTAGGCTACACCATTGACAGAGCAATGGAGGCTGGCGGGAGGAGCTATAGGAGGACGGGCTCATTGAAATGGCCGGAATGGAATAAATGGAACGGTATCAAACGCATTAAAACCACGTTTTACTCCGTTCCATCAATCCCATTCCAACCATTACAATGAGCCCGTCTTCCTATAGCTCCTCCCACCAGCCTCCACTGACTGAGAGCGAGGTCTGAGAGAGTGAACATGTGTGGGGAAATGTGATCTGTGGTTTGACACCTCTGTGTTGCAGAGCTGCCCTCTGCTGGGCCGGATGAATACAGCTGTTCAATAGATTGTATAGTGACTATTCTAATCTAAGCAACTGCGTCAGTCGGCTAGATGTTATCCCAGTGAGATAAGATTTATACGGTTAGATAATGTGCTCATAAAAAAACGAGCCATCTAGTTGATACTCTATAGGGACACGTAACATTCTATCAATATTCACTGATCCAACTACACAGGGGAGGTTAAGTCAAAAAGAAAACCATTAGGTCGTTGTTTCAAGACAAGAATCAGGCCATACCCGAGAAACCAAACTAAATGTGAGTCAAAGATAGAGAAGAGATTCTCAAAACTTTACAGAGGCATTACAGTGACTTCTCAACACACCAGTAGTGTAGGGGAGGCACCTCTGTGTTTGAGGTAATAAGTCAAACATACTTCTCCCTAGCCAAGTCCATTAGTGTCTAGCAATAAGTCATAGACATTACTCAGTCTCACCACAGTGCATTAGCAGTTATAAGTCATATTAGTCAAATGAGAGTCACACGTGATGATCGGTACTGCATGCATTTGCTTTGGGGAGCGGAGGGACATAAATCGTGCTGGTATTAGAGTCCAGCTGCTTTGCAAGAAAAACGAATGGCAAACAGCAAATGGCGAGTGTTCATCAACATTGTCAGCCCCCCTCTCACCACCAGAATGTGGGAGCAGTGGGGGGCTGATGGGGTAAGGGCATGGGAGGCATGGACACCCACTGGGTTTTGGGAAAAGACAGCTGAGCTAAGTCACTGTACCCCCCTAAAAGATAGTCTCTATCTCTCTCAAAACCATCTCCAGATCTGGTTTTCTGGTGGTTGTGTGGCATTGTATTTTGTTGCTCAGGCTCAGTTTGTCAACAGCGTGTCTAAATAAGTTGGTGTTAGATTAATTTGTATTTAAGAATAATAAGGTGGGCGGAGCAAAGTGCCTCAAGGGGTATAAAACAGTATGTATGGGTTTTTGGCGCCAGAGCTCTCCATGAATAAAAATACAGATCATTCTTGCTGGTTGTGGACCTTGAATCATTTATGATTAAAACCAGGGCCTTACAACCCCTGGTAATTATTCAAGCTTAGGTTGAATTAGAGATAGACATTCTCGTGACAGTTGGCCCTGGACTTTGAGGGCCAGCTTAAAAGGGGGAAATATTTCCTAACTGTTATACTCGGTGAAACATCATGCTCTTTGTTCGATATCCGTCTGTCTGTTTCTGATAAATTACGGACATTGAGAGAATCAATGAGCACATTCAACCTAAAAATAATTCCAAATCTCATCCATCTGGATTGTGGCGAGACAATAGACAAAGACATACATAAACAAACCATGGAAAACTAAACCACAGACAACAATTTTCTCTTTAATAAGACTCTGATACTCCCACTGTCCCTTCAACACACAACAAAATATATTTATAGCATATACACACACCAGCATTTCATTTTCAAACACATTAGAATCTGTGGAATCTCAATGGAGGTGGCAACATATCATGCTTCTTGCTCAGGTTTAGAAAAAAACAAAACTGCATATTGATTTTTTAAATGGTGGGATGGGATGCCATTGTGTACATTCTGTTTCAACACTGATTAAACTGAACGGATCACTGATTTCACCCAAGGCTTACCAATCCTGAATCTGGAATACCCATGTGTTTTTTGTTCAACTGATGCCTTGTTAATTTTTATATCCAGTTCAGAGTACAATCAATCATAATTGAGGAGCGGAACAGTTCAAACAGAAAACCTGTCGACACAGCACTCCTTGGAGACAGCTGACGCTGTGCTCCAACAACGTAATTTTTACATTGTCAAAATGTTGTCAAACGTCTTCTTCAGTATTTTGGAGACATTCTATTTGCAGCGAAGCGCCATTTACAGAACATTTACAAGTATGTTTACAGAGACCATATCATTATGTTTTCAATACATATTAGTTACTGGGCAAACCTTGAAAGGGGGCTTCCTTTCATAAATTCATACACAATTTATTCCACAGACCCCTCCCTCCTTTAGTCCAATGCTCAAGATTTCATTTACATTATTCACATAAAACTGTACCCAGTCCTTACATTTCTCTTCAACTTAAATAAACTAAACATTAGAAACAAAAAAGCCAACTCACTTCTCTTTCAACTCACTTCTCTTTTCATAATAATAACAACAATTACTCATTAGTGTCAAATGTGTATTTTTCCCCCTCAGGGCTGCTGAAATCTACCATGGATGATACTGTTATGGTAGAATTGATGCCGTGATATCTTCTACCATCTACAAATGGTAACACTGATGCACCCTGTCGGGTGGTGATGACGTCATATCCTGTTTTGTATTTTGCTTGTGTATTTTTTTGCGGAATGCAGAGTTGTTGCTTCTTCTTCTTCTTCATCGGCCCTTTTCCCAGGGAAAGTTTATGTTTTTTGGGGCCTAGAAAGCAATCTGTGATTGGTTTGGCACAGGTCATAGGGGATGTGCCCCTTCGGGAAGAGGGTGGCTCTCTACCCATACGAGCGGAGGCTGGGTTTGGGAAGGTGGGGGGGGGGGGGGCCCAAGAATCGCCTTTGTGAGTGGCACACACCTCACAGGACCTCTGGAGAGATAATAGACGGAGAGGACAAGATGAGGGTCAGTTTCAACACAGTGATACACCACACAACAACAAGGGAAAACACCAGAGATCCAAAATGGTGTCCATTTTGAGCCGTTCTGAATGCGCCATCTGAATGGTGAGCCAAAATGGTCGCCAATTTGAGTATTTGTAAATGTGTAAGGAAGACCCACCCTCACTGACCCTGCTAATGACAAGGCTTATAAACCCTTGACCTGGCAATAATACTACATTTTTAAAAGGTCCTGAGCGCATGTCACGCAGGGAATGAACCCATAAGGCTTTATAGGGAAATGAAGAGGCTAATCAAACCAAGCAGCAGATGCTACAGGCAGAATCCTGACTCCTTTTAATGAATGACAGACCATCAACGACCATTCAGTCGCCCATCATGTGAGTGAGCTAGCGCTACGAGTGTGATCAACACAGTGTGATTGATGCTAACAGTAGCAATAGATTGACGGAGGCACCTGTCAGGCAGCTAAACGGTCCACCACACTAGCTCATGAGTATCGCCATTTGAATTAGCTCCGGTGGTATGTTTAGAAATAAACATGTCCCCGAATCCCAATCTATGGAATTACATCGTAACATTCAATCAGTGTCGATACATTAAACCCCCCCAGTCACAAACCCCCAGCCCCCCGGCCATAAACCCCTCCAAGTCATCATGGTAAAAGAGTGCAGGGTATGCAAACAGGGCAGATTAGAAATGTGATGTTAACTTGTGAAAGACTGAGACTGTGACTTGAAGTGTGAGTGGCAGAGTGAATTTACTCTGATTAAAGTGGTTAATTTTGACGGAGCTCGTGTGGCTGCAGCTCTGCAGCTGGGTGACCCTCTTCTGTTTGCTTTGGATATAATTTATGACCTGCTGGCAGGCAGGCAGGCAGGCAGGTGGGGACTAAGCCCTAGGTGGAGGGTGGAGGGGCGAAGGGCAGTAATGCTGACCACGCCGTGGGGAGGGGGGTGAGGGTGAGGGGGGTACATAACTGGGCCGGGGTCCTGTTTCCATCCCTGGCAGCTAGCTAGCTCCCCAACACTCAGGGAATTCGACACTGGGCGTTGAGCCTAGCGACCGGAGCTCCGGGAGCGAAAGCAGTCAGTATTAAGATACCCCACCGCCCCTCCGTGTCCCCTTAGGCCCTCTGGGGGCTGGAGGATTCCCCATGCCACCCTTTACCCTAGGGACACTCACGTATGCACAAGTGACGACTTGCATCTGAGACGGCACTAAACCGACCGGCTCAGTTGGATGGCTCTTCGTTGCCAAGGCCAACACTACGAACCCATGGCGCCGCTTTATGGCATGTTGTGAACCCTGGCCCTAACGTGAAAAGTCAACCGCCAGAGTAGAACGCGAGACCATTATTACTGCTGTAATTGAACCCCAGCTTAATCTACAGTTAAGAACACTGTAAAAAAAATCCCTTAAATCTTTGTGGGTTAAGGACACTGAGATAAGATTCCTTGCTTGAATCCCTATAAATATTGGCACAACTGATATAATATTATTAGGTTATGTTGTCATTTGGGGGCGGTTTCCAAGACACAGATGATTAAAAGACACAGATTAAGCCTAGTCTTAGACTGAAAAGCATGTTTAAAATGGAGATTTTCAATGGAGATTCTCTATTCAAATGCATTTTAGTCCAAGACTAAGCATAATCTGTGTCCGGGAAACCGGCCCTTTGAGTTCCCTCTCTCTCTCTCTCTGTCTATGTACCTGCGACATGCTGAGGCTTCATGGGGCCCACTTTTTTCAGGAAGGGCTCCTCACTTTCAAAGGCCAGGATTGGCTCAGTGGGCATGTCACTCTCTGATTTCTCCCGCCCCACATTGGTGCTGTTGCCGTGATTGGCTAGCTGGATGATCTCCTCAAAGTGTGCGGTGTCCCCCTTGCTAGACAGGCCATTCTCGTGTCTGGCAGGCTGAACACCGTTGACCACATGGACCGTGGAGCTGTGGGAGGGAGATGGTTATGGTGAGATGGAGAGTGAAACATGGTTAAACACAAAAGGGCTACGGTCCCAAGTGGTTCAGTTGCAGATTTTCCCCTCGGGCCTGTTCAGTAGGATGTAACATTATACTGTAGATATAACGTAGATAGAAATGTCTACAAATGTGTAGAACAGAAATGATTGTCAGATAGATTGAAATATAATAAATAGAGCTGACACGATTCTATCTGCAACATTCAAAACGTTTCACATCACTGAATACAACCCTGGTCTCCCCTCAGAGGCTAACTGAAGTCCTCAAACCTTATATTACACTATCTCTCACAAACAAAAAACATGTTTAAATAGCTAAATAAACAATATCTCTACTTTTCTACTGTAGGCCTATGTCTTGAGGCTCTCTCTGTTTTCTCTTGTGGGGTCGAAACTACACAAATCAGCATAAGTCTTGATTAGAATGCATCCAACACTGCTGGTTTCTGGTTTGCTTGTTTTCTAATAACAATAGTGCATGGCTTGCTATTTCTAACAGATGATATTTCGGACAAGAGGAAATGGTTCTTGAACCTTACCTGTCTCTCACATCACTATGGGCGTTCTCTGTATTCTTGTTGACCTCTGGGCTTGGCTGGTAGTCAGCAGAGGCTGCGGAAAACAAATCAAATCCACTGTAAAACACACACACATACAAATGTGCAAGCACACACACGCACGCACACTCAGACACGCACGCACACTCAGACACGCACGCACACTCAGACACGCACGCACGCACACTCAGACACGCACGCACGCACACTCAGACACGCACGCACGCACACTCAGACACGCACGCACACACACTCAGACACGCACGCACACACACTCAGACACGCACGCACACACACTCAGACACGCACGCACACACACTCAGACACGCACGCACACACACTCAGACACGCACGCACACACACTCAGACACGCACGCACACTCAGACACGCACGCACGCACACTCAGACCTCCCTCACGCACACTCTACACGCACTCACGACACTCAGACACTCACGCACACTACACACTAGACAACGCACGCACACACACTCAGACACTCACGCACACACACTCACACACACTCGACACTCACTCACACACCCCTCAGACACGACACCACCACACACACTCAGACAACGCACGCACGCACACTCAGACGCACGCACCACCTCAGACCGCCTCAACGCACACTCAGACACGCACCGCACCCCTCAGACAAATAAAACCAATCTCACACCACTCAGACACGCACGCACACACCCTCATACAGCTCAACTCACACTCACACACACTCAGTACACGCACTCACACACAACTCATACACCACTCACGACACACTCAACAGCTCACGCACACACAGCTCAGACACTCACTACACACACTCAGACCGCACGTCACACCACCCTCCGACCCTCACCACACAAAGCCTCATACACTCACAGCACACTCAGCACGACACTCAGACACGCACGCACACTCAGACACGCACGCACACTCAGACACGCACGCACACTCAGACACGCACGCACACTCAGACACGCACGCACACTCAGACACGCACGCACACTCAGACACCACACACACAGAGTTCGCAGGGCCACCCTGAAGCAAGCACAGACAGAACTCAATATGCAGGATGGATCCAACCAGTGTTGGATTCATGATTACATCCTGGGGCTTTCAGTGTTTAGCACTCCCTATACTCAGACCAACTGGGGCTGTGGCTGTATGTGTGTGTGTGTGTGTGTGTCAGTGCATCTGTATTTGAGCATGTGTGTGGGTGCGCGCACGTGTGTGTGTTTGTTTGAGTATGTCCAAAGGCCTGATTGGAGGGGAGCAACGCCTCCCAACTTGCCTGGACTCCCAACCACATCAGTGCCTCCAATAATGGTTTCCACCATTATGGAATCCTGGCCACATGTACTCAAATCCCCTATCCCCATTTCCTACTCATCTGCAAATGTGTGTGTGTGTGTCTCTCTCTAGCCAAATGGGGATGGGGTTGTATAAGTAGGAGTAATATTTGTGTGTCTTTGTCATGTGAACACTGTATTTATTGTGTCTTATGTACATCTGGCTGCACAGTGAATGTCCCTGCGGCCACGATAAAGGTTGAATAAAACAGAATTTAATTGATGGGCTAAATGTCGTGACTGGTCCATTTACAGTCACTAAGCCAACCCAGCAATGCAATGCATTGCCATAAGATATTCCCAGAAGCTGAAAAGCCGTTGGGCTGTGATTTTCAGAATATTATTAAATACTCTTCATATGAAAAGGGAACACAACCCAGATGGCGATGGAACACAGACAAACATGTTAAATATCAGGAGGGAGGACAGGGACTGTTCATGGACCCCTTTTATCCTCTTATCCATTTTATTCGTAACTACAGCACTTTATTAGCAGCACTACATATTTAATTCTAATTAGATAATTTTGCTGCATATTTACATTGACTGTTTTTGACTGTGTATGTTTCTATGTATGTTTATATTGTTTGAGAGCTCTTACGAAACGTGTATTTTAGTACTTACAAATGGCTAAACTGAGAGGGGGGAAAAGTAGAAGTACAGTCCCTGCCTTCTAAATCAACAAGATTCATATTATATAGGAAGTGGAAGGGAATAGATCAGTGAGCTACTTCTTTTACTCCTATATCAGGCCTAAACGTAAGCAACACACAGTCGGCTAAATCCTACATTGAGTAATGGGTATGTAACTTGGAATTTGGCCTAAATCATACATTGAAGTCATTGGGGATTTGCATTTTTAATTTTTGGAGTGAACAGGTTTCAAAGTTAACATTAAGACTGATACAGCCATCCAATCAAAGAAGCCAAATTATCAGACTGGGCACACACTAGTTGAATCAACGTTGAACCAACGTGGAATAGACATTGAAATGACGTCTGTGCCCAGTGGGATTTAATTAGTTTATTAAACCAGTCAGTATCTAGAGCTGAACTTCTCCATTAATGTGGCAGTGAAAAATAGGCTGGAAAAGGACCTGGGACACAGCACACTGATGTTTGAATCCGTTCCCCCTGGATATCATTGATGAATTAATCTAAATTAATAATTTTCCTTTCAGGATTAATTGAGATTAATTGTTTGACTCCGAGTCCAAACATCAATATCCTGAACACAAGAGCGATATAATGAACAAAGATGGACGCCGTTTACGCTGCTTTTCATTTTCTGCTTACCTTTGCTGCTCTCGGCCTCTTTGCCATTGACTTGGGAGGGAGGTGGGGATTTGGTGTCTTTCTATAGAGAGATAGATTATCACGTGTTACATGTATTTTTAAATTGAGTGAAGTGCATTGCCATTGTGCCTTCGCAACAAACGTACCTTTTCCCCTCCGTCTGTCTTGCGTGTCCTCTTCATGATCTGCTCGAGACGCTAAGGAAGAGAGCACAAAGACGACAATGGTCAGAGAGAGGGAAAACACTGAGAATGTTAATAAGATGGCGGATGCAGATTATGTGCTCAGTCCCCATGGGTTGAATCACAGAGTAATACAGTAACTGTGCAGTAACTTAATCTCAATGGACTCCTTGTTGGCACCGAACAGCTAAAACAACACCCAACTCCTACCTGGTCCAAGATAGCCATGATGCTGCATCTGGCATAAGTAAAACATACAGATATGCCAGATGCAGGGCAGCTTTGATGTTGAGTTGTGATACATGCTATTGTTAGGTGATCCGTGTGTGTGTGTCACAGGAGTGTCACAGGAGGTTGGTGGCACCTTAATTGGGGAGGACGGGCTTGTGGTAATGGCTGAAGCAGAATTGGTGGAATGGATTCAAATACATTAAACACATGGTTTCCATGTGTTTGATTCCATTCCATGTGTTCCGTTCCATAACTTATTATAAGCCGTCCTCCCCTAAGCAGCCTCCACTGAAGTGTGTGTGTGTCGGTGTGCGTCCTTGTGTTCATGTGGATGTGCACTCCATGCATTCGTGTGTGTGTGAACGAGCGTGCGTCCTTGCGTTTCTGTGTGTGTGTGTGTGATCCACAGAATACACTCAGTCAGGTATGTAAGAGCAGCTGTGGAGCAGTGTTTAGAGGCGTGTGACTAAGCACGGGTTTGGGTAGAGGACATGCTGTTCTTGTGCAGTAATACCACTAGAGCCTGGCTCAACACACAATGTGGAGCTGCTTTGGCCAGCTGAGCTGCATGGGCTGGCAGCCTCAGATAAGAGGGAAAAAAGAGGGAGAGGAGGAGAGAGAGAGACGGGGGAGGGAGGGAAAGAAAGCGAGGGCGAGAGGGAGAGAGAGAAAAACAGACAGAAAGAGAGAGGGGTAGAGAAATAGAGAGAAAATAAAGAGAGAATGGGAGAGAGTGGGATGAAGGTGGAGGCCAAGAGACAGACAGAAAGAAAAAGAGAGGGTGTGAAAGAAAGAGCAAGAGTGAGAGAGAGAGCAGACTTAGCAGGCTGCAGCATGGTGTCACTGTGGGTGGTACACAAGGTGCGGGCAGAACACATAACCCTGGACTGCACACTGAACTGGCCCAGTTAGGACTCACTCTCCACCATTACTGTTTATATATAGCCTGAGATCTTATACCTAGTATATAGTCTTCCCGCTCACACACAGAGACTGTAAGCCCTATTCAATCAAAATAAGTAACCAGGCTAAGCCAAAAACCTCATTCTTATGGCGGCAAGAATGTGAGAGTTGATATTATATTCAACAAATCCATGTCTAAAGAGAGAAACAAAAATAAACTTAATTATAAGCTAAACAGAGCACGGCGCTTGTAACGCCAAGGTAGTGGGTTCGATCCCCGGGACCAACCACACACAAAAAAAAGTATGCACGCATGACTGTAAGTCGCTTTGGATAAAAGCGTCTGCTAAATGGCATATTATTATAAGCTAAATCAAGCATGCTGCCAAGAAGAATGATGTTGCTACAAGAACAATGTTATTTTTGACTGATCCCACAATAATAACAGTTTTGATTGAATAAGGCCCTGTGTGTGCTTACTGTAATGTATACTAAACATTCCACTTTATACCTTTGGAATATGTACAGGCAGTACAGAAGAAATACAGTAGTCCGGGTGCCAGTCTGTTTGGCATGACAATTCCAATAGAGTACAAACAGTCTGTTTGTGCTGTCTTGCCAACTCCTTTGGCATGAAAATGGCTGGAATTAGATAGGAGTTGGCTATACAGAACACACAGATATGGGTACCAGGGTAGAGAGGACACTGGTGGGGTATATTAACGTAGAGTAGAATGAATGAATGGATCTTTTCTTACCTTCTTCCTCTCCAGTCTCTCCTGCTCCTCCTTCTGGAAGTGTTTCTCTCTGTCCAGACGCTGTTTCTCGGCCTCCTCCTTGGCCTTAGCCTCAGCCTCCTCTCTCTGGAAAGCATACAGATTACAATGTGGTATGCTCTTCCCTTACAGAAAAAAAACATGTTTTCACATGTGTAGTTTCATGTTGTCACATGTTATCACATTAACTTCACAGAAGATGATGACATGAAAACATGTTGACATGAAAACGCGTTTTTGGAACACTTCACATGGGATCACGTGAAATTCATGTGGAATCCGTAAGGGTTACCATAGAGATACATTATATTACTGACCAAGACGGCCGCCCTTTTAGCCACATTGCTGGGATGCCAATGTCCATTCTAGTGTTCTATTTAATTGTATGGATTCTACAAGGCTAATAACATGCTACTACCACCAATAGTGTTGTTATATATGTGTTATCTGAGGGAGATAGTGACTGTATAAAACTACAGGAAATACTATCTTTTTGTAGTAGTAGAAGTGAACATTTTCAACATTGTGAGAATTTTGTCATGGTATTGAACCTGTCATTGAACACAATAACCTTTCTAGGCTACTGTATTTTTTAAATACATCATTATTAATTACTGCCTCTACGAATGACACTTCACTGACGGCGCACTAGAGGGTATCATAGGGTTGCCAGCCAGAGAAAACAACCACTTAAACAGGGACAAAATCCACACAAACCCAGGGGCAGCTCCTATCTCCTATCACACAGTCTGTTGACACTGCAAACAAACACTTCTGTGAATCACAGTGTTTTCCGGCTCACTGACTGACATATGTTCCTGCTAGTCGGGATCACTGACCTCGACTGCTCCCGAGCAACGGCGGTAGAACCATGGTAAACACAGGAAGCCGACGGTGAGTCAATAAGACTCAGGCCTTTTGTGCTGCGCTCCGAAAAGTGAAAGGGGCCATTCAATGTGCCATTAATGTCAATGTCTGCAGCCATTGGGAAAATATTGACCAATGCTAACGACAAATCACATAGGTTGAAAGTGATTGAACAAATATACAAAACAAGTTTAGTTATGAGATATGCCGTACCAAATGAGGTCAGGTAGATGACAAACTTGGCTAATGTAGTGATATGGGACAGAGAGGGTGTTCAATACAGATAAGGTTACAGAAGGCTCTCTGTCACAAAGCAGGTGGACAATAAGAAAAGCGGACGGACAGACGAACCCACACAGCCCAACCCACACAGCCCTGTGTTTGTAGACTAGCGCCCTCTGTCCGCTGGCAGTTGGCGGTGCTTGTTTACCTGTTTCTGTAGGCGCTCATTCTCCTCCTGCTCTGCCCTGGCTCTCTCCTGCGCCTCCTTCTCCTCATCCACACGCTGGGCCTCGTCTCTCAGGCGCTGCTCCTTGGCCATGAGGCGCGCCTCCTCCTCCCGCAGCTTGCTCTCCTCCGCCTCCCGCAGCTTACGCTCCTCTCGCAGGACCCTGAGCATAGGACGACAAGCATTCAGCAATCCTACCTATAATGTATCGACAGGGGCTCTCTATCCAACCAGTATACCAATCAAAACATAGGCTTATTTACAAATGTAAACATCTAGATTTAGAATAAATCAGTGTACTCTATCTTAAAGAGTGCATCTTTTGTCTTTGTACTACATTGGCAATTGCTGTGTCAGGAAAATAAAAAGTGAAACACAATCAGGAAATGAAACTATTTTAAAAGGAAATTGTTGCCTGCTGGTGAAATGGAGAGGAACAGAGAGCAACAGGAGACATTGCCCAGCCTGACAGCTGTCATGATATAAATACCCAGTGGTCACATAGTAACTGTGGTCAACATGGCACAATAGGCTGACACGGGCTCGTCCACGGGAAATCCTTTTTAGCTCATAAACCTGAGCGGAGGGGGGCAACTTAAGCCGTTACACAAATGTCAACAGCTCCACACCTCTGGGGGTAACACGAGCACCACACATACTGTATCATAGACAGTACTGAGTGGTCTAATTCAGCCATGCATATGATACCGTGGAGAACTGTACTGTACTCCATATGTTGACGCTTTACACTTGAAATTATTCAAATTGTGATGTGCTGCCATGGTTACTTCCACTTTGTCTCTTTGAAGCTGGTAAGAGATCGATTGTCTTTACAGTAGATAGGATAATGGATATAAGGTGGTTGCAAAATTCCAGAAACTCTGGAATCCTCCAACAAGGATTTCTGGAAAACCTGGAAATATTGGGGAAATTTCAGGCATTTTGCAACCCGACTGGATGCTGCTCTGGCTCTCTCCAGTGTGGGTTTATGTACTGTAAATGAGGATAATATGATTCTCACTTCTCTCTCTCCTCCTGCTCGCGTTTCTCCTGCTCCTCCCTCTCCCTCTGCTCGCGGGCTTGCCTCCTCTTCTCGGCCAGGATCCGGGCGGCCTCCTCTGGGTTGTTGGTGCCCGCCATAGGCTTGGCTGACGGGGAGGCAGATGGGGCTGGGGATGATGCAGGGGCACTGGGGGTTGATTGGGCGGAAGGAGGGACCTCAGAGGGAGTGGCGGCGGCCGCTGTGATTGGTGTACTCAGCGAAGGGGGCGTGGCCGGAGCGGAGGATACCACGATTGAAGGAACGGGGGAGCCTGGAGAGAGAATTGAGCAGGAAAAGAGGAGAGGAATGGGAAAATACAATAAGAAGAGTTATTGCATGTGGTGAGACACTGTGGCTCTCTGAAGAGATACTTGGAGTGAACTCCATAAGTAAATAGTCCCACTAAACTATTTTCTAAAGACAAATCACTGTTCACACTATCTTCTTCTTTAAGCTGAAACATTGATAAAACTGTGTAATTACACTAAGACAAGTACACTAGACCTCTGATCTAGATTCGTCTTGATTGATGTGAGACACACTGTGATGTTCTTAATTCAAACAGTGGCAAAGCATGGAAACTTTGGCCATTTCTGGATTCTGTAAACTTGGGAGACTTGTAATTATAGCATTTTTCAGTAATTAGCACCCCCTCTGCTGTTCCTCACTGTGTGTGAAGGAGAGAAAGAAAGAGAAGCTGTGTAACTCACTTAGCAAGCTAGCTTTGTCGGCGTGCCTAATTAACTATGATGGTAATCATCCTCTGGCTGTGCCGGAGTTACGGTGCACTGACACGCACGCACGTACGCACGCATTCACTTATGTCCAGTTTGAGTTTCAAGTTCATTCTTCTCAGCCATGGGAACGACTGAGCCAAACCACAAATAACTAAATAAGTAAAGTATGAGTCAGCCGTGGCAGGGCATAGACCTACAGAAAACAGACCCATTAAAATCCAACTTGTGTCAGGGGAAAATCTAAAGGTACAGAATTGTATGGGTATGTAGTGTTCTCATGGCTTTTGTGCCAAGTGCATAAAATATACCTGATTCTAAAGTTTCTAGGGTGAGTGAGTAAGTCCATATTGTTCAAACCATAACTTTAATTTGAAACAATCTGTGGGCAGGAAGTCCACCAGTGATGGTTGATGTTTCCTTATAGCTTTGAGAAACTAGACTGAAGACAGGCCTTGCTTTCACAGAGCTTAATGTCATTATGTAAATATACAGTGAAGGAAAAAAATATTTGATCCCCTGCTAATTTTGTATGTTTGCCCACTGACAAAGAAATGATCAGTCTATAATTTTAATGGTAGGTTTATTTGAACAGTGAGAGACAGAATAACAAAAAACATCCAGAAAAACGCATGTCAAAAATGTTATAAATTGATTTGCATTTTAATGAGGGAAATAAGTATTTGACCCCCTCTCAATCAGAAAGATTTCTGGCTCCCAGGTGTCTTTTATACAGGTAACGAGCTGAGATTAGGAGCACACTCTTAAAGGGAGTGCTCCAAATCTCAGTTTGTTACCTGTATAAAAGACACCTGTCCACAGAAGCAATCAATCAATCAGATTCCAAACTCTCCACTATGGCCAAGACCAAAGAGCTCTCCAAGGATGTCAGGGACAAGATTGTAGACCTACACAGGGCTGGAATGGGCTACAAGACCATCGCCAAGCAGCTTGGTGAGAAGGTGACAACAGTTGGTGCGATTATTCGCAAATGGAAGGAACACAAAATAACTGACAATCTCCCTCGGCCTGGGGCTCCATGCAAGATCTCACCTCGTGGAGTTGCAATGATCCTGAGAACGGTGAGGAATCAGCCCAGAACTACACGGGAGGATCTTGTCAATGATCTCAAGGCAGCTGGGACCATAGTCACCAAGAAAACAATTGGTAACACACTACGCCGTGAAGGACTGAAATCCTGCAGCGCCCGCAAGGTCCCCCTGCTCAAGAAAGCACATATACAGGGCCGTCTGAAGTTTGCCAATGAACATCTGAATGATTCAGAGGAGAACTGGGTGAAAGTGTTGTGGTCAGATGAGACCAAAATGGAGCTCTTTGGCATCAACTCAACTCGCCGTGTTTGGAGGAGGAATGCTGCCTATGACCCCAAGAACACCATCCCCACCGTCAAACATGGAGGTGGAAACATTATGCTTTAGGGGTGTTTTTCTGCTAAGGGGACAGGACAACTTCACCGCATCAAAGGGACGATGGACGGGGCCATGTACCGTCAAATCTTGGGTGAGAACCTCCTTCCCTCAGCCAGGGCATTGAAAATGGGTCGTGGATGGGTATTCCAGCATGACAATGACCCAAAACACACGGCCAAGGCAACAAAGGAGTGGCTCAAGAAGAAGCACATTAAGGTCCTGGAGTGGCCTAGCCAGTCTCCAGATCTTAATCCCATATAAAATCTGTGGAGGGAGCTGAAGGTTCGAGTTGCCAAACGTCAGCCTCGAAACCTTAATGACTTGGAGAAGATCTGCAAAGAGGAGTGGAACAAAATCCCTCCTGAGATGTGTGAAAACTTGGTGGCCAACTACAAGAAACGTCTGACGTCTGTGATTGCCAACAAGGGTTTTGCCACCAAGTACTAAGTCATGTTTTGCAGAGGGGTCAAATACTTATTTCCCTCATTAAAATGCTAATCAATTTATAACATTTTTGACATGCGTTTTTCAGGATTTTTTTGTTGTTATTCTGTCTCTCACTGTTCAAATAAACCTACCATTAAAATTATAGACTGATCATGTCTTTGTCAGTGGGCAAACGTACAAAATCAGCAGGGGATCAAATACTTTTTTCCCTCACTGTAACTGGCTTAAAATGTGATATAATACAGGAACTACACTTGGGCATTGCAAAAGCAGTGGGTTGTTGACCTGCTACACTGGAAGCTTAACTTATGGCCAACGCGAGCAGAGCGTGAACCACTTTATCAAGTGTTCCGGGCATGAGCTACTTAGAAATCTTGAAAATAGAACCAGATCGTAATTTTACACTGAGCAGCGCAAGCCTGTCGCGAACTGCACTGCTTACGCCCATGTTTCATTGAAAGTAAAAGGAGTGTCTCACGCTCGGCAAAAGTTACACGTCTAGTGTTACAATTGAACTCATTCCAACAACGTAAACAATACACCCCAATTAAAGTGAATGCGGTTACACTGATCAACCCCTTTAAAATTGTCCTGCACTGTTGTGATCCCTGTAAGAGGAGTACACTGTACTAACACATAACCCTCCACCTGGGGGTACTAACTAGCTACTGCATACTCACTCTTGCCTTTGGGCTCCTCGGGCGTGGCTGACCTACGGCCGCGGGTCTCCCTGGCCCTCTCCAGGGGTACGGGGGAGGAGGTGCGCCCGTGGTCCACCCGGGCCGGGGTCCTAGTCCTCTTGGGCCGGGCCTTGGGTGTGGAGGGGCTAGCCCGGGCTGAAGAGGGAGGTTTGGGGGAAGCAGCAGGGCTGGGAGAGGAGGAGGAAGGTCTTGCTCTAGGAGTAGTGGCAGGTGAGGCAGCCCGCTGTCTGGATAAGGGACTAGGACTGGAGAGAGGGAGGGAGGGGGGGGGAGAGAGAGTGAGAGTTATTATGAATAACATGAATACATTTATCTTACAAATCATTAGAAATTATTAGAAATATGTAAATAATAATAAGTAAATAACAGTTAAGTAAAGTTTAGTCGAACATTTAGTCATATCCAGTCCTAGGGATGAAAAAAATTGTCCATCTCTATACAGAATAAAGCAAGGAGAAAGTCTCACCACTAATTCCTCCATTGAAGTAATACTATTGAACTGTTTCAGTTACATATGTGCCTCGCTAACCTCAAGTCTCAGACAGCAGTCAATAAACATTACCTCACCATGACAGCAGGGTCCGACACGACACAACATAACACGTGTAACATTATGGGATGGTTTCTCAGCAGTAGACAGAGTAATAGTCGCAGCTTGGAGGGGAAAGTTCCATTATACCAGAGTGGTGTGTGTGTACTTCTCTTCTTCCTTAAGGCCTCTGGCATCTCTCTCTCTAAGTCAGAGCACTCGTTTTTTTTCTCTCTCTTCCCTCCATCTGTCAGTGACCCCAGCCATTTCCATGTCCCATGGCTATGCTAAACGCACTGGATAAATATCCTTAGGCTCAGGGGCCTCATGCTTTTAAGTCTTAGCCTCCGTTCACATAAATACACAGACACGCTGGTTTTACCATCTGCACTCACAACCATGGTATCTTTGTCTCTTACTGTATCCCGAACCTTAGGAAACACTCTAAGCTCTAAGTTTTGGCAACATGTCTTTTACTCTATTCACACTATAATGTCGACCCAATCTATACTGTGCTGGCTTGTATATTTACTTTGCACATTGTCCTTTCCAGCAAATTTTCAACAACTATGGTGGATGTGTAACCAGGCCAATACAGTACAGCTGGGCTTGGCTTGGTTCGGCTAGGCTCACTAGTGTGTAAAGGGTGTTCAATGTGCAGATACAGTAGATCCGTGTGAGAGCAGGTTACCTGGGGTCCGGTCTGTGCTTCATACTGGGTAAGGACTGTCTCTTCCTCAGCACCTTCTCTCTGCTCAGAGCGCTCTTCTCCTTCTCGTTCTCCCGTTCCTTGTCCTTCTTCTCTTTCTTTCTCTTCTCTATCTGCAGAGACACAAACCATCAGGATGAAATGATAAAAACAAAAAATGATACGGTACATTCTAGCTTATTCAAAGTGCCAAACAGTATTGTATTGTATTTCAACTGTAAGGGATGGTAGTAGTCTGGTTGAGCAGCAGCGCTCCAGATTTCGGACCACGCAGGCCTCCAGGCGACAGGGGTCGAGTCCTGTCTGTGCCCTTCACTGTCTATGACCCTCTTCCATTTGTATCTCCCTCTCTATCCACTCACCTCTCTATCCTGTCAATGTCATTGAAAAATCCAAGAAGAGAAAAAAAAAGGGATTGGTTGACGTACCGGCGTGGAGTCGCGTCGGCGCTGGGTGATGTCGGGCGTGCTGGACGTCACCCTCCAGCGGTCGGAGCAGCGGTGGTGAGGCCGGTGGGCACACAGCGTCAGCGGGCTGGCCGAGGCTGAACGGGGGCATAGGGGCGACTCTGGAGGGACGGGAAGGAGAGGCACATAGAGAGCAGGCGAGAGATCGAGATAAATAAATACGACACCCTAAAAACACAAGCAGAGCACAAGCAACAAAGGTATTCATTACAACACATCACTTCACATACCCTCCATGAGTATTTCTCAAATCTCTCCTCGGTGCCCCTGAAACGTTTCAGAATTGTGTTGTAGACAGAATGATTGTACACTGCTCAAAAAAATTAAGGGAACACTTAAACAACACAACGTAACTCCAAGTCAATCACACTTCTGTGAAATCAAACTGTCCACTTAGGAAGCAACACTGATTGACAATAAATGTCACATGCTGTTGTGCAAATGGAATAGACAACAGGTGGAAATTATAGGGAATTAGCAAGACACCCCCAATAAAGGACTGGTTTTGCAGTTAGTGACCACAGACCACTTCTCAGTTCCTATGCTTCCTGGCTGATGTTTTGGTCACTTTTGAATGCTGGCGGTGCTTTCACTCTAGTGGTAGCATGAGACGGAGTCTACAACCCACACAAGTGGCTCAGGTAGTGCAGCTCATCCAGGATGGCACATCAATGCGAGCTGTGGCAAGAAGGTTTGCTGTGTCTGTCAGCGTAGTGTCCAGAGCATGGAGGCGCTACCAGGAGACAGGCCAGTACATCAGGAGACGTGGAGGAGGCCTTAGGAGGGCAACAACCCAGCAGCAGGACTGCTACCTCCACCTTTGTGCAAGGAGTAGCAGGAGGAGCACTGCCAGAGCCCTGCAAAATGACCTCCAGCAGGCCACAAATGTGCATGTGTCTGCTCAAACGGTCAGAAACAGACTCCATGAGGGTGGTATGAGGGCCCGACGTCCACAGGTGGGGGTTGTGCTTACAGCTCAACACCGTGCAGGACGTTTGGCATTTTCCAGAGAACACCAAGATTGGCAAATTCGCCACTGGTGCCCTGTGCTCTTCACAGATGAAAGCAGGTTCACACTGGGCACATGTGACAGACGTGACAGAGCCGTGGAGAACGTCCTGCTGCCTGCAACATCCTCCAGCATGACCGGTTTGGCAGTGGGTCAGTCATGGTGTGGGGTGGCATTTCTTTGGGGGGCCGCACAGCCCTCCATGTGCTCGCCAGAGGTAGCCTGACTGCCATTAGGTACCGAGATGAGATCCTCAGACCTCTTGTGAGACCATATGCTGGTGCGGTTGGCCCTGGGTTCCTCCTAATGCAAGACAATGCTAGACCTCATGTGGCTGGAGTGTGTCAGCAGTTCTTGCAAGAGGAAGGCATTGATGCTATGGACTGGCCCGCCCGTTCTCCAGACCTGAATCCAATTGAGCACAACTGGGACATCATGTCTCGCTCCATCCACCAACGCCACGTTGCACCACAGACTGTCCAGGAGTTGGCGGAAGCTTTAGTCCAGGTCTGGGAGGAGATCCCTCAGGAGACCATCCGCCACCTCATCAGGAGCATGCCCAGGCGTTGTAGGGAGGTCATACAGGCACGTGGAGGCCACACACACTACTGAGCCTCATTTTGACGTTTTAAGGACATTACATCAAAGTTGGATCAGCCTGTAGTGTGGTTTTCCACTTTAATTTTGAGGGTGACTCCAAATCCAGACCTCCATGGGTTGATAAATTTGATTTCCATTGATCATTTTTGTGTGATTTTGTTGTCAGCACATTCAACTATGTAAAGAAAAAAGTATTTAATAAGATTATTTCATTCATTCAGATCTAGGATGTGTTATTTTAGTGTTCCCTTAATTTTTTTGAGCAGTGTAGTTCATAAGCTCATTCAAGGGCTTGATGATTAGTTGACTCAGATGTGCTAGCTCTGACTGGAACAAATTATCTAATACATGGAACTGCTGGGGGCCAAGAGGAGAGGATGGGGAAATGCTGTTCTAAATGACAAACGACCCCACTAATAGCAGGTCTCATCTATCCCAGTGTGAGTGTGATGTCTACTTAGGGTCTTTACCGTTGCTGAGCACGCTGGCGGCGCTGCGGCTACGGGCCAGGAAGGACAGGGTGGGCGTCATCAGTCGGTCCACAATGCTGCTCTCCCACGGGCTCAGCTGGAGGCTACGGGCTGCGGGGAGGGGACCAACATTAACAATATTATCACATATATTCAAAATCCTACGAATGAATATCTCCACTTCTGTATGACTACGTCAGAGGACATCAGTATTAATATGCACCTTATACCCACTAACTGTTTGATAACTATTGCAACCCCACTACTGCAACCCCATTTTAGTAAATGACTAAAATGTAATGATCCAAACACAGCGTCACAGAAAGGCTGTTTGCTTCTCGTTTTATATGAAATAGCGACAACGAGCTAAGCTATGCTCAGTTAGCTTTCCCACGTTATATATTATAATGGCATATCAAATAACACAATATTTCACCCGCATAAACCCTTATGTCTCTAGTAAACATGCACACCAAATAAAGCCTCAAACCAACCCAGGCCTATGCCCCATTCTTATACTCTATGGGGAAATGGTGGATTCCTTATTAGACTGGGCAAACTTCCAGACACATAATAACATGAGAGGGAGGAAGAACAGAACCCGTATGTCTCTTTACTTTACGATTGGAGCACCATAAAGTAGGCACTGCCAGAGTTAGCAACATCCTGTATTTAGAAAAACCCCTCTGGCTATGGAGGCAGCTGTTCAGAACATTGACAACGAGGGAGGAGAGAGATGAAAGAAGACCACTGCAGAGGTTTGCCCGGGGTAGTTTTTGGTACACCAAATCACGTCCCACTTCCCTATTAAACCTGCCCTGAACGATAATAAGGTTATCAGCAGAAGAGAGAGAGAGAGAGAGAGAGAGAAGAGAATAGTTAGACGGAGAAGAGAGAGAGCGATGGGAGAGAGAGAGAGTTTTAGAGAGATAGCCGAGCAGAGCGCAGCAGCGCGCGCGAGACTTGCTCAGAGCAGCCAGAGAGAGAGAGACGATCTTCTCAAATCTTGCGATCTGACACTCGAGGAAGAGAGAGAGAGGATTCCCTCTCTCGTGACGACTCTCGAGAGACCCTATCTCCCAGCTCGCGAACGACTCTCTCTCCTCACCCCGCCCGCCCTTTTGGGGCCCCGGTTCGGGTGGGAAACGTTCAGAACCCCAGGAAACCCCAAAAAATAAAGAAACCCAAACCGGGTTTCCCCCATTTTAAAACCCAAAAGGTATTCCTTATTAAACCCCCCCAACTTGGGGCCCAAACAAAAGAGGAGGAAGAAAGAGAGAAGAGGAGAAAAGAGGAGAAGAGAGAACAAGGAAAGAAAAAAAATTGGAGGAGGGGGAAGAAGAAAGAGGGAAAAGGAGAGAGATGAAAGAAAAAAACCCGGGCCCAAAGCTTTTCCCCCCTAGGGAAAACCAAACCCCTTCCCCTTCCCTTTAAACCCCCTTCCCTGCGTGGGTTTCCACCCCCCAAAAAGGGGGGGAGGGGGGAGAAGAGAAGAGAAAGAAGGGGAGGGAGGAGGGGGAAGGAGAGAAGAGAGGGTGTTGGGGGGCCGAAAAAAGGGGGGGGAAAATCCCCCCTTTGGGGGAAAAGGGCTCCCTGCTTTTTTGGCCTGGGCCCGGGAAGGGGTTTCTCCCCCCCCCGCCCCCCACTCTTTGCTCCCCCTCGGGGCCCCCCCCCTTTTCTTTCCCTGCCTTGGGCCCTCCCCTCTCTTCCTCCGCTCCTCCGCTCCCCCTCCCCTTTTCCCGGGGCTCTTTCTCTCCCCCCGGCAACCCTGTTTTTCTTTTTCCCCCCGCCCCCCCTTCCTTTTTTTCCCCCCGCCCCACATTTGTTCCTGTGGCTTTTTTCCAACCGCGGCCCCCCTTGGTGGCTGACTTTTCTTTTTTAAAAACACTAAATTTCCTATTTTTTCCCCCCGGGTAAAATTGTACCCCGTTTAACCACGTATTTTCGGGAAAAAACCTCTTTCCCTTTAGGGGTTTTTCTAGGTGCACTTAACCCCTCTTACTTGTGTAAATTAACTCTGAAATGAGTGTCTGCTCAAATTTTTTGGGTTTGGGCCGGCAGCTAGTTTCCCAAAATTTACAGTGTAGTTTTTTTGGGGTTTGCAATAGGCCTGGAAAAACCCATTCATCATCATCATCACCATTCAAGATATCATCACCATCACCATTCAAGATATCATCACCATTCAAGATATCATCACCATCACCATTCAAGACATCATCACCATTCAAGACATCACCATCACCATTTAAGATATCATCATCATCAGAATCACCATTCAAGACATTGACCAAGACTTCCCAGTGAGTGAAAAAACATCTACTGACACACCATCACCACCAAATGAATAACCCAAGAACACCAAAAACGTGAGACATAAAATATGAAGACAGCGTAAATGAACCCATATATTCAAACCAAAGTATGAAGTATATAAATGCAGGGACTGAACAAAATGTAGAGGGAGGGAGGAAAAACCATAACCCATTACCCATAGAAAAAAAAAACTAAAGGTGGATTTGAATTTGGAAGGTGAAGATGATTTGGTAATCAACCATTGAACACAGGCAGGCGATTGGATTGGAGACAGCGGGGAGAGAAAAAAAAACGGTGGAGGAAAAAAACACTAAAATGTGAACGGATATGAAAAGGGGGCGTTCCCGGAAAAGGGGGCCTGGCGTGTCTTACTTCTGTTGGGGGAGTTCCAGAGGGTGGCGGAGGACTTGGAGAGCCTCTTGTTTATAACCGAATCCACGTGTTTGGGCAGGTTGACCGCCGACACCGAGCATCTGCCTGCGAAGCCAAGAGAGTAGTCCACAGAGATGGTTGGGTCACACTGTTTCACAGGGGAGGGAGGGAGACCTCCAGGATGTGTCACGGTGATATCAATCCCACCCCCCAGACACACATACATACAGCAAACATCCAAATACCAAAATGGTGTATTTCTAGAGGGCAACTATTTCTGTTTCCATAAAGAAACAAAATAATAAAATCTCTGTATTGAACGTTTCATCTGACAGTGTTATTTGACATTCCTTTTGACATGGAGATGACGGGAAACAGAATAGAAATTCAAACTGTCAAAGTGTCATGTCAAAGTATATTTCAAGGAGCCTCCACCAACAATTGAATACAATCTGGAAATAATGCAACTAGGGGCTTTTTCTATGCACTGAAAAAATATATTCAAATAAATATTGTGTTGAGTCTAGTTGGTCATGCATCATTCAGTTAGATCTTGATATTCAAAATAGACACACTTGACTGTTTGTGAAAGAGTGCCACCAAAACAACCTTAAACGTCCTGCACTGAAAACTACTGACTATCAACGGACTGTGAACACATGTCTAACCTGCAATGATATGATTAGATTGTAAATGTAAAAGAGTATACGTCCCGTCTTTATCCCAACCAGAGCCTGTTGTACACAAAGTAGTAACAGTGTTTTTGTTACCACAACATTTTGCACTACACAAACTAATACCAATGTCAGTCAACACAACTGACTCAAATGTAACACAACTGACACACATGTAACACAACTGACACCTAGGAGTGAACTACTGCGACAACCCACTGATTAAACACCATTCCCCTCCAGACCCTCTAGTAGAGACTAATCAAGTGAACATTGTGCCCTTTATTAAATGCCACCAGACATACAACAGTATAGTCTAATGTTAATGGGGGAATTGGATGTCTCTGTCTCTGTCCTCAATGTCCCTCCTCAGATATGAGTCTGTTGTTGTTACTGATGGATTCTCAGTAGTCCACTGTATCCTGTTTGTTTCCGCTTGTTACCGTTCAGTATTTCTTTTCCTTCTTCTTTTCCTTCTACTTTTCAGTCTTTGACAGTTGAGTGCACTGGGTCTGAAAGAGGAGCCTTGGGGGGCAGGTTGATTTGGCGGTCAACATTAGGCATTACTTATGGCTCATAAGGGACGGAGCAAGACAGCACAAACAGATCTGGGACCAGGCTATAAGTGATTCCATGACGTAAGATATTATACTGTATATGAGACCCCCTGAGATTTAGACTTGCAAAGGGGGAGAACAGCAGAGAGAGAGAGAGAGACATCACTGCTTCATACACCTCTTACCAAGTACATTGCAGTTACCGACCATTTGATTTGAAGGGGCATTTGGCAACATTAATCAATGCTAGCTAAACATGAATTAACCACTATTCTGATGTGTGTTGATGATCGATATAGCCCCGCTTACTGCAGGCTATTATGTACCTGCATATAGAATCACATTGAAGAATCAATACTTTCTCCGTATCTACGGGCTAATGACCCTGAATTAAACAACCAGTCAAGCAGTAACCTACACTATGTGCCTGAGTTTGGTTGTGCGGATAAGGCCACTGCCTTCGGGACATACAGTATGTAACCCTGCTTGCGTGGGTTCGAATCCCGGTCGAACCCAGAACTCTTCCTCACACTACTTATATTCACTCTGTCTCCCCTTCATAACTTTCAATCAAATATTAAAAATATATAAAATCCTTTAATAAATTGTACACTGTAGAAGCACCAGAGACCCTACAAAAACAGGGGGAAAGAGAATAAGGGGATGACTTTTGAGTATGTCGCACAAACGCAGACCGGAAAACATTGGTCAGAATTGTTTGTGTCTCGCAGGGCATCACTACATATCTGACACCATCACAGCCCCACCCCCCACATATACACCTCAACCATGCCTGGACATCACATATTCACCTCAGCCTTGTCATTACCCAGCTATTTCCTCGCGGAATGAAGCCAATGTTCCCTCCCTCTGCAGGGAAATTAGACTACTGTAGTGTGGCACATCCCAGCAAGAGCAGATATGGACGTCAACCCACCTGTCGTGTGTGTGTATGCCTGCGCACACGTGTGTGATATCTCAGAGTGATTTAATTAGAGATAACTATGTATCTGTGTTGGGGTTGAGAGGAGCTGTTCAGCAGTGTAGGCTGATTGATGCCAGACTGAATCATGGAGAACCACCTCTGCTTAATAGGGTTGAAGGTGACTGGAATTAAAGTTTGACTGTCACTAATTGACTATATACTGTAAAGTGAGTGGCCTAATTTATGGTTTACTTAAGTGCAAAACAACCGTAAGACTGTGAAAATATGGCACGGTAGAATATAATAATAATAATAATAATAATATGCCATTTAGCAGACGCTTTTATCCAAAGCGACTTACAGTCATGCGTGCATACATTTTGTGTATGGGTGGACCCGGGGATCGAACCCACTACCTTGGCGTTACAAGCGCCGTGCTCTACCAGCTGAGCTACAGAATGTGAATGTCTGCACAGTAGTACCCTTCTCACACTACTGAAGCGAGCCAAAATGAGCTGTACTGCACTGGCCTGATAACGCATCCACCATAGTTGCTGGAACTGTGCTGGGAAGGACCATGTGAAAAGAAATGATCCAAGCCAAAACAGTCATTCGGCTCGGCACGATAGTGTAAAATGTATATAGGTGAGGCAGTTGTCTTTGTAGGAAGGAGAGGCTTTGGCAGTGTCTGGGTCTGTGGGTTCTGGTTCTGGGTTCCTCTTTCAGCGGTAGGTACTCACTTTCTCTCTGGCTGGATTTCTGGCTGAGGCCTCCGGCCCAGGACAATCTCTGCTGACGGATCTCAGCCCAGGTCTTCTTAGTGGACCGCTGGAGGGCAGCCTCATACCGCTCCTGCATACCAAACATGGAGAAATACTAGGTTAGTACTAGTTAATAATTCTCTAACCCATTCTCTTCTAGTTACCCACCCACCTTATTCTCTTTTTTTGTTAAGGCGAGTGGAATTCCACCCTCCTTTAGTATTTTTCTGACCCTCATTGAGACAGTGTGGAAATAGATGGAGGAGACCGGTTAGTAGAAGGGAAAGCAGAAAGGTGGACGTGGGGATTGAACCCACAATAATCAGGGCTCTAATATTGGCTTGCTGTGAGGAGTATTACCACCCGTTCTGGGGTGAAGTTTCCCCTAGGTACAGATCTAGGATCAGCTGCCCCTCCCCCAATACTAACCTTTGCCATTAGTGAGGAAAATGCAAAACTGACCTAAGACCAGCGTCTAGGGGTACTTCACCCTTCTCCCTCACAACCCACCTTGTTCTTCTCTAGTTTCTGTTTCTGCCTCTCCTCCAGGGCGGCGCGACGTTTCTCTGTCTTGATCCGCTGCTCCTCCAGCTTCCTGCGCCGCTCGTCCAGCTGGCTCCCCCTCAGCTGCCGGGCCTTTTCCTCTTTGTCCAGCCATTGGGACTTCTTCGCCGCTACAGGAGAACCACATCAGGAGGGTTAGAGTGGCAAGATAACAAAATTGGTTTCAAGAGAGAACTCTCTCGCTCTCTGAGGCCCTGTTCAAATGTTTCAAAATTGCATCATTCCTTTCTCCCTTCCTTGAGGTAATCACTGATTAGAAATGACTGGACAAGTGAAAGCCATGTGGGGGAGCCCTCTCTCTCTTCCTCTTTTTTGACTATCTTCTATTCTCTCTTTGAATACCGTACCCTTGCAGCTTCTATGCAGAGCCCTGTTGCATTGTTAGATGTTGACCAACATTTTAACGTCGTTTTGCTATGGACAAAAAATGGAGTCCCTTGTGTTTTAATCTGTTCCAATAAAAAATTGTACTTCTTCCAAAAGTAAATCTGCGGTAAACAGTATTTTAAGTATTTTTTAAACGAAACACAAATGCCTCTTCACTCTGATGTTGACTGTGCTTTCAAATCTAAAATCCCTCTGAAGTGCGGGTGTGTGAAGCAGTGTTTCTTTTCAACAGGGAATTTCCACTTTCCCTCAGATATAAATTGAATTACTTCACTTTGCACAGAGCGACACAGAGGCAGCATTATGCAAGGTTCGGCAGATACCCCTGGACTGACACTTTACCACGTTAATCGCATCAAGCTCCCTACGCCGGTTTCAATAAACTGCACGCTTTGATATGGTAAGCGTCCCCATCCCCTGAGCCATTCATTATGCCACCACCTCTATGACTGCGGCTGCATCTCAAATAGCACCTTATCCCCTACATAGGGCACTACTTTTTCACCAGAGCCCTATGGGGAAATAGGGCACTAAATAGGCAACAGGGTACCATTTGGGACACAACGTGCCTCTCTCTCTTTGCACATAAGCCACTATATCTTTTGGCTTTATTGAATAAACCCCCATGGACGATCAGCTTCTTTCAGGGGGGTGGGGGGTACTTGACGCAACAAAAGCAACTGGTTATTTGGCGGTTATCAGATTAAGTTAGGGGAACGCTGGGGCAACATTGGAGGCAAACACTTAGATTTATCGCAAGGTGCACAGCTGTGCTTTTATCTGAGAGAAGTAGGCTCAAAAAGCATCAGGAAACAAAAAGCACCATTACACCATGCCACAGCAGGCCAGAGGTCCCCAGCACTAACAAAATGAGTTCCTACATCTTATCTGCTACAGTGAGTGTGCATTTCGGTTCAACTTAATTACTTTTAATAACAGTACTTTGAGTCTAGTAAGGCAAGGGCATATTATTAACTTCTGTTGATGCAAAGCTTTGAGGGCTAGCAGTAGAGGTAATTGCGTGCAGACTGTCTCGGGTTTCAACCTTGTGTAAATCTGAAGTATGGGGAGTGAGAAGGAGGGAGTGTGGGAGGAGGGAGTGAGAAGGAGGGAGTGTGGGAGGAGAGAAGAGGAAGGAGAAGCAAGGCTTCCAGTGTCCACAGAGGCAACATTTAAGAGCTGGCTTTGGATGGAGAATTATACAGCTCTCGCCTTCACTGCCTCAAAGGCACTCTGACTTGTCACAGTGAGAGTATGACAGACTGCACATTGCCCTCACACATCAAATATGAGACAGCATGAGTGTGACACTGACAAGGCCCACATGAGATCTTGGAACATTGACAGTGAGCAGCACAGTGGCCATGTTAATCTAGAACATGTATAGCATTGAGGAGTAGGAAAAAGATAATGCTATAGGGAACTTTTATAATGCTGGTGTCAAATAGACAATTATTTAGTGCAATAAATGCATACTTTCAGTTAATAACTGATCTTAGATAATTTACTAATGTCCCCAGTGATATGATATCAGTTTTGACATCTGTCATTGTTTGAATAGGATGGCGTAGTGCCAGTTAAGCCAATAAAACAGTGTGTGTGTGTGTGTGTGTATGTGTGCATATTGAAGAGATCAACCGCACTACATTTCCCCTGTGGATGTGACTTAAATACGGTCCTCCTTCCCTTCATCTCCCCTAATGTTTCCCTGCATTGACACTCAACATCTAGGTCTGCTAGGCAGCAGCTAGAGCCATTAAATAATCATTAACTGAGTCCTGTTCCCTCCCTGTCCACATTAAGTATGCATTACACTCTACAGAGAGCCAAGAATGGACAACTCATATGGTCACAGGGCCAAACACATCTTCTTGGGCCAAAGTGGACAATTCATGCATTACTCAGCAGAGGCCTATCAAAATACTAAAACATACAGGGAGAAAATACGATCTTGTTTGAGGGGAAAAAAGGAAAACAATGGAACAATATAGCCTACATTTGAAGAAGACACAGTACGCTCCAGCTGTTGATACTTAAAAAGACTGGCCTTCTTAGCCAGGATTGCCTCCTAGCTGGGATTGCAAACACAAGTTTATAGATTGAATCTCAAGGAATTAAATCAGGGAGAAACCCTCTATCTGGACTCCTGCCCCAGTGGACTGACAATTAGACTGATCCATGATGGTATAACCCATTTTATCCCAATTTACTATGAGGATGCAGGCTGGATTTACCAGAAGACATATATATTACTTCTATGAGGTTCTTTAATTAAGAAGCTTCCAGCTTTGTACTCCAATTGTGACAATGGAACATTTGGGACAATGAATATGACCTTTCTAGTAAAAACGAGTCTCTCATGACAGACAAATATTTACAAATGAAGTAGCTGGCCAGGGAATGTGAGATTTGGATTTGGGTTCTGAGATTAAGTATAAACACATTTGGCGTTTAGCAAGGGTGATGTAACTTTTGATTCCTATCCTCTCTTTATAATTCCTGTATAAAATGGCAAAATAACTGCATTTAGTGGTAATAAATGATATATGATATAATTCTACAGGTAACTGACAAAATAAAGGAAACACCAACATAAAGTGTCTTAATAGGGCGTTGGGCCACCACCAGCCAGAACAGCTTCAGTGCACCTTGGCATAGATTCTACAAGTGTCTGGAACTCTTTTGGAGGGATGCGACACCATTCTTCCACAAGAAATTCCATCATTTGGTGTTTTGTTGATGGTGGTGGAAAACGCTGTCTCAGGCGCCGTTCCAGAATCTCCCATAAGTGTTCAATTGTGTTGAGATCTGGTGACTGAGACGGTCATGGCATATGGGTTACATAGTTTTCATGTTCATCAAACCATTCAGTGACCACTTGTGCACTGTGGATGGGGGCATTGTCATCCCATGGGGGCATAGCCATGGTGGCCAAAATAATGGCCTGCCCAGCATTTTTATACATGATGGGATGCTATAATGCTTCATTAACTCAGGGAAAACACCTGTGTGGAAGCACCTGCTTTCAATATACTTTGTATCATTTACTCAACATGGAAGGAAAAAATGTGATGGAAGTAGACACTAGGCTAACGTCCTATGAGAAAATGTGCACACAAGCAATGTGGGGCTGGCACAATTACCGTATAACCATGTAACCGACGGTTATGGATGAAGACCGCCATGAAAATAAAATAACCGTCATAACTATATAAAAAAAAATATATATACAAATTTGTGGAACATACAGCTGACTGAAGACCAGACGGCCGGGCATTCATGCAGTTGAGTCCGTTTATGCGGTAACATGGACACTACAACGTGATAAAACTTTGTTGCTCTTTGTTGAAACAAGCAAGGTGTTGTAGCAAATTAGTCATCATTTGCTACAACACAGGCTTGGAACCTCACAGGCTTGGAACCTCTAACCCTGGCAACTTGACTGATAAACTCATTGGTACACTCACAATGGCTGCCTGGTACTGTAATGCAATCATTTCCATGGTAATGTAGAAAGTTCATTCAAAATATTTTTTGTAGAGAGGGTGATTGATTTTAACAATTGTGTCTGTTTGTCGCTCAATCAAGGCAACAGGTCAAAACAGCAGGTCAAGGCAACAAGAACCACCACCACCACCACCACCAATACCACCATGGACACATAGGGTGTGGCTTACCTTGTATCTGGCCGAGCTTGTCTGGAGGGGGGATGGGTGAAAGGGAAGACAAGAGCAACTGTCAATCATGCAAAGCAGTGCACGTCGCCAGGATGTCACTAGAGCCAAGGACAGCGTGGCTTGTGTAACAAACAAACAAAAACACTCAAGCGGGTGACAGGCAGCCATCTTGACTGACAAAATAAATAGAGCCAGAGACTTGTTAAGGCAACTTGAAGCAGGGCATTGACATATGCTACCATCAATTGAAAACTAGTCTGTATCAATTGACGTTGGGTTAAACATATAAGTTCAGAGCTGGGGACCTTTAAAGCATTTGTGAGTTCAAACAAAAAGGGGTTAGCTAGGCTATTGTTTTAATAAAAAGCACATGAACATTTATTTGGAGCATGCACATTGAAAACTATTATGTGTCTTGAAAGCCAAATACTAAATCATCATTGGCTTGGTTTTCGTTCTCATTGAAGTACTCAGCTTGAGCCGCAGCCTAGGTTGGTTTGACGTTCATCAACGTTTTCCAAATGTTTCTGTGATACATGTGCACACCATCTGTAGGCCTGAAAAGAAAGCCAATGCCGACACAACCTAAAACAAAATCTGCCACCACCCCTTACCCCCCAACACTAGGGGGCATCCTCTCCCTGTGTACATAGTTTCCTCCTCTCAACCCCCATCTCAGCTTACCCAGATATTTGGCCTTCTCCTCTCTCCGCTCCTTGGCCAGCTTCTGTCTGTCCTCTGACTTCACTGCGTCTAGGGTGAGAACAAGAGAAAGAGTGAGAGAGAGGAAGTGAATGTGAGAGGTCATTGTACACAGAGAGAAGCCCCAATCCAGCCCCACAACTGCAGAGGGATAAAACGCTGGAAGCTGGCAGTCAAATCTGGCAACTATATCAGAGCCACATAGAGACTCCACTCTAGTATCTAATAGAAGTGAATGAGCAACGTGGAAAACACTCTGATTAGGACTGGTGGTTAGTCACACCATGGCACACCTTGGCTACAGTTTCCTGGTGAGTATTCATGAGTGAACACGTAATTGCATTCAGTGAAGTAATGCACCTACTCAGTGGCGGCTCCTGAAAAAATTCTCAGGAGGGGCAATTTTTCTGATGATTTAGGTGACCTACACACGTGCACGAGTCCGTGCACGCGATTCCAGATATCTTTACCTCTGAATAAACTGCCTTTATTATACCATATCCACCCTGTCCAAAGTCTCTACTTGGTCTCAGTTCTCCAGTAAACTTGTGATTATCAACAGTACACAACGGTAACAAACAATTGGGGGAACTCACGGGGCAGATAGTAACCACTTAAAAGGAAGCGATTCCCAAACCTTCCATAACAAAGCCATCACCTACAGAGAGATGAACTTGGAGAAGAGTCCCCTAAGTAAGCTTGTCCTGGGCCTCTGTTCACAAACACAAACAGACCCCACACAGCCCCAGGACAACAACAACAACAACAACACAATTAGACCCAACCAAATCATGAGAAAACAAAAAGAGAATTACTTGACACATTGGAAAGAACAAACAAAAAAACAGCCCTAAACAGAGAGTACACAGTGGCAGAATACCTGACCACTGTGACTGACCCAAACTTAATGAAAGCTTTGACTATGTACAGACTCAGTGACCATAGCCTTGCTATTGAGAAAGGCCGCCGTAGGCAGACCTGGCTCTCAAGAGAAGACAGGCTATGTGCACACTGCCCACAAAATGAGGTGGAAACTGAGCTGCACTTCCTAACCTCCTGCCAAATGTATGACCATATTAGAGACACATATTTCCCTCAGATTACAGCGATCCACAAAGAATTCGAAAACAAACCCAATTTTGATAAACTCCCTTATCTACTGGGTGAAAAACCACAGTGTGCCATCACAGCTGCAAGATTTGTGACCTGTTGCCACAAGAAAAGGGCAACCAGTGAAGAACAAACACCATTGTAAATACAACCCATATTTATGTTTATTTATTTTCCCATTTGTACTTTAACTATTTGCACATTGTAACAACACTGTATATATACATAATATGACATTTGAAATGTCTTTATTCTTTTGAAACTTCTGAGTGTAATGTTTACTGTTAATATTTATTGTTTATTTCACTTTTGTTTACTATCTACTTCCCTTGCTTTGGCAATGTTAACACACGTTTCCCATGCCAATAAAGCCCTTAAATTGAATTGAATTGATAGTAAGGTCGCAATGACACAGAAAGCAGTTCAATGTCGGGGTACAGAGTCGCTCTCTTACCAGGATCGCGGTCCGCTCTGACCAGGGTGAAGGTGGCCGGCTCCACTTCTCTGTCCGGGACTCATCCAGCCAAGTCTCCCAGCTGTATTGGGATTCAGCTGCCAGCAGCGTTTTCATTATTTAGTCCGTTCGTAGCGGGTATGTACACGATCAACAAGATCAGTCCAAAACCAACCACTGGAAATCCATGGTTGGCAGAATGTTTGTAAACTAAGTCTACAAATTAAAAACATAAAATAACGCCGCACTGCAGGTCGCAACAGAGACGCTTCTAGCCGCCATTGTCTTAGTTACGTTCAACGTTACGTCACGTATGACGAAAGCGCGTAAGTGCAAGCCCACAGACACCCATAGAGAATGTATTGAAAGCTTTGAAATGTGAAAAAAATAGATTTTACATGACAGGCTATGAGAGACTTCTGGGCGATTTTCAACTTGACTGAAATCGCCCCAAAAACGGGCGGGGCCATTTGAAGCACGACTTTAGCCTGATTTGACATTTAGTGGCTGGCAGATCAGACGTGAACACTGATAACTGCTGTTGCCGTGATATAATTGATTAGAAAAAAAATCCCTTCCTTTTCCCGTTTGGCAGTGCGTCGCCCATATCGCCCTATTGAACAAGCCGTCCCTGCACCTACTCCTAGACAGGATATAGCTATAAACAGGGTTTAATTTTCCCTTGTGCCAAGTCAATAATGGTTTTTCAGCATTCAAGTGTTGATTTATCTTTTCCTTCTGTAACATCTCTGGTGTCTGCATTCCTCTGAGCACCTTAACTCATGCCTGGAAAGCATAGTCCTACTGTTACAGGAATTCTACTGCACCCCTTTGTTTAGTATAGATTATTTGTGGAACATTGCCCCTGACCCATAACCAATTACCAATTTAACCCCAATTGCTTTTGAACGATAATAATAATAATAAATATAATTAGATGATCATGTTGTATATGATTAATTGCATAATTATGACCTAAGCAAAACTCCCTGAATGAATACACCATACTGTAATTGTGATGTAATTCTCAAATGCCAAGCACCATTTACTACCTTTTCATGACAATTGATCAGCATTTAACTGGCCAAGTTGAATTCTACTGTATGTGTGAAGGTTTCGAGCATCATCTTCCATCCTTTCCTTCCATACACAGACCACATGTTCTACATCCATGTCACAATTCATACTTCAGTTGATTCTAACACAATCATGAGAGTGCTGAAACAATCCACCAGATAGGGCAGAACAGCAGCAGCCTCCCTATAACATCCTCTGACCCACTTTGACACTAGGTCTGATTATGTATACTGCTGTAAAAAGCTCTAGTGTGTGTGTGTGTGTGTGTGTGTATTTTGAAAGGAATAGAGGAGCAGTTTGATGCATAGCTCTCATGGCAGACTGTAAAGACAAAGTAGCTAGCTAGCGCACACAGGATTTGGTTCTGGGTTCCGAGTTCAATGCATAGGGAACTTTTGTCTGGGCATATCCAATAGGTATCCTTTAAATGGACCACTTCTCTCAATGGATGAAGATGGGACTGCTTTTCTGGCTATATAGTGCCTTCAGAAAGTATTCATATCCCTTGAATTATTCCACATTTTGTTGTGTTACAGCCTGAATTCAAAATTGATTAAATATTTTTAACAATCTCACCCATCTACACACAATAGCCCACAATGACAAAGTGAAAATATGTTTTTAGAAATATGTGCAAATTTATTGAAAAGGAAATACAGAAATATCTAATTTACATAAGTATTTCAAGCAGATTTAAGTCAAAACTAACTCGGCCACTTCACTGTCTTCTTCGTAAGTAAATCCAGTGTAGATTTGGCCTTGTGTTTTTGGTTATTGTCCTGTGTACAGGCTTCCTTCTTTTCACTCTTGTCAATTAGGTTAGTTAATATTATGGAGTAATTACAATGTTGTTGATCCATCCTCAGTTTTCTCCTATCACATAAACTCTAACTGTTTTAAAGTCACCATTGGCCTCATGGTGAAATCCCTGAGAGGTTTCCTTCCTCTCCAGCAACTGAGTTAGGAAGGACGCCTTTATCTTTGTAGTGACTGGGTGTATTGATACACCATCCAAATCGTAATTAATAACTTGCTTAAATTAATATTCAATGTCTGCTTTTTATTATTATTACCCATCTACCAATAGGTGCCCTTCTTTGCGAGGCATTGGAAAACCTCCCTTGTCTTTGTGGTTGAATCTGTGTTTGAAATTCCCTGCTCGAATGAGGGCCCTTACAGATAATTGTATGTGTGGGGTACAGAGATGATGTTGTCATTCAGAAATAATGTTAAACACTATTATTTCATACAGGGGGAGTCCATGCAACTTATTATGTGACTTGTTGAGCAAATGTTTACTACTGAACTTATTTAGGCTTGCCATAACAAAGGGGTTGAATACTTATTGACTCAAGACATCAGCTTTTCATTTTAAATGAATTTGTAAAAATGTCTAATAACATAATTCCACTTTGATATTATGGGGTATTGTATGTAGGCCAGTGACAAAAAATATCAATTTAATCAATTTTTAATTCAGGCTGTAACATAACAAAATGTGGAAAAAGTCAAGGGGTGTGAATACTTTCTGAAGGCAATGTATTTATGTCCATGGGAAATCCACAATAAAGTTTTACAGTAAAAACCAAGTCTCCATAGCAACAAATAACAAGTGCCATGGAGAGGGCTTTGGGGGAGCTGTGTGTGTGTGTGTGTGACATGCGTGTGTGTGTGTGGCTGAACTGAAGCAGTCATAGTGAAGAGTAAAATCCCTGGTCCTTTAAAGATCTCTTGAAAACACAGGGACCCTAACAACCTCCCAGGAGCAGGAGGCAAGGGACCGCCGCTGGCCAAGTGCCATGAGCTGTCAGACACGAGGCCGAGATGTGCCAAAGTTTAATTAAAGCGACCATTATGGAGGTAATGCTCTCAAAGGCATGCCTTGCCATTTAATTTAGCTAATTAAGAGCTGCAGAGTGTTTCTCATCCTTTTCCTCTTCCTCCTACCCGCAGGGTAAGATAAAACACAGAGGTAAGCTTGCATGACTGAGCAGAAAGGCAACCTAAAGGAGAGGAAGTGACAGAAGTCGTTTTAGAAGTTTGTTGACTTATTGGTGCTCAAACGCTTCTAACAGACCTTCCAGAGACATAACATTATACGCCTTATCATAAGCCACTACAAAGGCTCATACATGCTTATAACAGGTTATAAAGCATTATAACTGTAGGCTTTAAGTAAAGTGTTACCAATATCTTTTACATTACAAAAGCTGATCCAAGATCTGTTATCTACTGAGGGTCCTGCAGTTCAATTCCGACGTCACTAAAATGATCTCCTTGATCTGATCTGGCACACCAAAATCAGAATTCTAATTTGGCGTTACTGTGATCATTTCGGGAAATCAGTCAGTAGAACTATTTTGGTTCAGCTCTGCCACATCACGCTACGGTTAAATAGACCATGACCACAGTCAATAGATTAAAGGGCAGAGAGAAAGTAAGTTTATGTTCACAAAACCCCCCAAACACGTGTTTGCATGTGCTACATTAGCCAGCGCTCGGGGCAGGACAAGTAGTGGCATTGTGGAAACAAAGGTGGTGGTGGTGCAGCGGGTCAAGCTAGTCTAAATGCCCCCCTGGCATCACTCAGTGAAATGTGATGCCCAGTCAGGTTCATTCTTCCAACTTTCATTAGAGACCGGAGGTGATTAGCAAGCAGGCTAGCTATAGCCCTTTAGCGATTAGACTGTTAGTGAATAGCATTAGCCATCCACACAACATTACATCAGAAATTACAACAAAAATAACATTTAGGCTCAATTCTATAAACCCACAACAACACAATTCTAGCTTAAATGGATTTTGTCATGTGAGCTGTAAGCGCTGTAACTAACCCCCTGCACCAGGTCTATTGGATTTACCCCCAGCACTGAAAGCCTGTGGTCAGGATAATCCTGGACTGAACCATTTTGTTTTCCCGAGGGGTCGGATGATATCACCTGGGCACTGAGGTAATAGATCAATAATCACAGGGCACTGCTGAAGATAGCCTTTATTACACAACCATGGACATCGATTGCTGTGTTCCTACCCCTGAAAATGGTCATAAGCTACTTCAAATGCTCTATGGTAGATAGAAACACATACTAATGGGAAGCCATGTTCACACCATTTCCTTTATTACCGGTAACACCACAGTATAGGGAGACTTACCTTTATTAGGTTTGGGGCTAGGACTTGAGCCAGGCATGGGCGACGTTGGTGTAGCAGGTGACTTCGGGATGACGTCCAGTTTCGTGGGGGTCCCCACTCTCCTTTCCTTGTCCTTTTTCGTGATGGTTTCCATTATCTGGGCTGCGCCTGTTTTATGGGGGCCTGTCACCCCCTCAGTGTATTCCTTTGTGGCGTTTGCGTCCTGAGCCAGGTGGGGAGCTGGTCGGAGAACGAGAGAAAAAGAAGCCAGGTGAGAAAAGTGTGAAGCGTAACACACCACAGTATAGAGATGGAATTAAACCTGTCCTCATTCCAAAGCAACAGCTTGTCTGGAGGTGGGTCTGAGTGAGGTATTGCTCTACTTCATAGTCTCTAGAAGGTAACAGGTGCAACAGGTAGAGTCAAGGTCTATTAGGAAACCCCTTCTCCATGGGATAACTTTATATAGCATACTGCTTATGATCATAAAATGCTTAGGATCATAATGCACATACCTGCAGTTTCCTGTACATACATACTGTACCAGCAAGTCATAGTATGAGATCAACAGAGAACACAGGCATTGTGCATTGTGGTCTCTGCTGAGCTACTCAACTAACTCTCAGCTTCAATAATGTAAAACAATAAAACACACAACAATGATAAAGCACAGCATGACAAAAACAATATGATACATCTCACCCACTGGCAAACCTTGAAGTCTAAATGACACAAGATATGCTTAATCCACTAGCACTCTAATAGTTACAAGATCTCCGTTCTCTGGTCTGGTTCTCTAACTTTACCCCACACTCCTCTCTCAGAACGACCGGCTGATTTATCGACAGTCAGGGCTGAGTGAATTCTCTCCCTGGCAGAACAAAACAAGGTAATTGCCTCTCTGCCTCTTGATGATTCTACCGGGGAGGAACAGATTTATTTAGTGAGAGGAGGGGGAAAATACATGCAGGTTCCTCTCTTTATGACAAAGGTGATCATAAATTTAGCCAAACATACATTTTTAAAAAGGTGTAATCTGTAGTTTCATACTAAAAAGTATTGTCTGGTCTTTTTGAGTAAACTGAACACTGATTAGGTGGCTTACGTGGCACCATGTTTGTTATTGTGTGTGTACAGTTTAATTGGACCTTGATTGTGTATGCATTTCATCCTGTGACCACGTAAGACAATGGAATTACAGGTTGCACCTGCAAAAACCTTTAGAATTAGAAACAGTTGGACAGGGTGGGGCGGCAGGTAGCTTAGTGGTTAAGAGCGTTGTGCCAGTAACCGAAAGGTCGCTGATTCTAATCCCCGAGCCGACTAGGTGAAAAATCTGTCGATGTGCCCTTGAGCAAGGCACTTAACCCTAATTGCTCCTGTAAGTCGCTCTGGATAAGAGCGTCTGCTAAATGACTAAAATGTCAATGTAAAATGTGTTGGTTGCGAGAGCTCTACGGCTGGGTCAGTGGCTCAGTGGCAGTGTGACTCACACTTGGCAGCTTGAGCCTGAAGCTCCCTGCTCAAACATAACTTTGCCCAGGCTTTGGAGGCCTCACAAAGGCCTAGGGGGAAATATTTGGCTCCTTTGTCCACTCAGCACTGTCGCCCTACATTCCCTATGCAACATTCAGCATTGAGCCGAGTTTCTTCCACATAGTCTCTCAGGGTAAACGCTGGGGCAACGTGCTTTAAATTATTCATCCAGGGCTAAAAACAATGATGGTGGAGAAAGTATGTCACAAAGGTCCATAGACAGGAGATTTACTCTCTTCTGTGCAACACAGTGGCAAGTATGATAATGCCACACAGTGCAGCAATGCTGGAAGAAGCAAATAGTGTATGATTTTGGGAAGTCATTATGATGTACTTAGTATCGAATCTAGTTGCATGTAGCCTATAGAGTATAGCTATATTGTTTTGAATTGTACTCTGATACTGAACAGTAGGTGTATAGAAATTGAATGACTAGAACGGACATTCTATTTCTATGGGAACAGGCCTCCTCCATATTGACATGTTATTCTCAGTCACCTGCCATCTGTTGTACAGTCTACCTGGCATAGAGAGACACACACAGCTAACCAGACCTCCTCCATCACATACACTAGGTATTTTGGGGGGACGCTGGCAGGCACCTGGCAGAGCGAAACCTGTGTGAATTATACATGTTATGGTCTGCTTGAGGAAGTGATGAAAATAAGACTGGCATTCAGGCAACCTGCTGCTTAGCTCCACAGAGAAGAGAGTGGATGGGCATGGGTAGCCAACCAAGTCAACAGTGAGGACCAATGCATTATTACCACAAAAAAGAAGGACCCACTCCATGAAGCATATTGTATATCAATATCAACACCATTTGACATTTCAACTTTTAATTTGAATTGATTCACAACATCCGAGAGTGCTACTTTCATACATTTATGTTACAAGAAGCATTCTAGTCCCTCCTAGCTACTCCTCTAGTCATAACTGACTGAGCTCTTCGGCATCCCTCTGTTGACTGAGACATCAGACCTCATGGAAAAGACAAGCCAGAGCTCAGCTCATATCATCAGTTATGGAATGAGCATTTACTCTGATGACCCTTAGTTGGACATCGGCGCCATGGGCTGCGAGAGAGAGAGCGAGAGCGAGTGAGCGAGAGAGAGAGAGAGAGAGAGAGCGAGAGCGAGTGAGCGAGAGAGAGAGAGAGAGAGAGAGAGAGAGAGAGAGAGAGAGAGAGAGAGAGAGAGAGAGAGAGAGAGAGCGAGCGTGTGTGCTGGCATGCGAGATGAGCTGAGACGAGACAGATACACTGCGGTCCCCTTCTCAAAGCCTGCCACTGTTAAATAAGTACTGGGCCAGCGATGTGGATGTGCTCAGTGATGTACTCAGAGAGAGAGAGAGGAGCCATTGTTGGGGTCTCTGTATGGCAACGGGCCTGCTGCCAAACACACTGCAATGACAGGGAGAAGAGTCAGAGGGGAAGATATATAGAGAGGGGGAAACAGAACGAGGGCAGAGAGAGAGGACAGAGAGAGAGATATACACAAGGGGGGATATATGGAGAAAAGGAGAGAGAAACAGAAAGAGGGACAGAGTAAGAGTGTGCAGAGGATGGCAACTAGAATCCCTCATCATAAGGGGATTTAGTGGGTGATCATGGGCGTTGGCCAACTTGGATGCATACCACAAACCCATGTGAAACCAAACAAACAAGTGAAAATAAGTTAAACCAAAACACAAAGCCTAGCCTACACAGAATTAAAACATGTACTGACAGAAGAACATAGAGTGAAGGAATAACACAACTTCCCCATTCGAGAACAAAAATGTCGGAGTCCATATATAATTGGGGGTTTGTGACTATTTTGGCTAAAGCCGAATGGGTGAAGTCACTCTCCAGTCTCCACCACCCAAAATTACCACCACTGGACTTCCTTTTCCTTCCCCCTCTTTCCTTCCTCTTATGCTCTGACATGTGGGAGGCTGTGATGTCATCCACATGGGACAGTTACAAATCTGGAACTATGTAATGATCAACCTAACACCTCTTTCCACCCTGGCTCCGTCACAGACTGCAGGCAAAGACCGACCACATCTCAATGGATCAAACTGACTCACAAGAAGGAGACAAAGTGCCCCAAAGAGACAACATCACAATGCCACAAAACCAACTCCTGATGTGCCCTTTTGAGTGGATGAGAGAGCGCTAAATTACATATTTTACTAAGAATGAAAGTTGCGGGAAAGTTTTCAATACACTTTAACAATAGCTATGATTGCTTTTATATTAAAAGATCAAATGCAAAGCAATCTGCCTATTCGAGATTTGCTGAGTCCCTGCCTCTCTGTGACCTAACAGCCAGGTCAGAAAATTGCAGTCGTATTGAGCAAAGTAATTAAAAACTTTTGTTGTGAACCCCAGCCCACACATCACACAACCACAACACTGGTAGATGAAGAAAAAAAATCCCTTTTTATAACTATTACCCTACTTGAAATACAGTCACACAAGTACGTGTTATATTCCCTGGGCTAGATATGGCGAGGTAGAATCCAAAGGTCACAGCCAGTGCAGTCTTGACAGACAGGTAGTGTTGCTCTCATGAGCACCTGAGGACTATGGTCATAAAGAACACAATGGGTAGCAGCGCTGAGTGCGACCGCTCTGATAATCTGTATGATATATACAATGTAGTGTCTATGATATAAATGTGCAAGAATTCCGGTCTGGAGGCGCAGTGTGTAGGCTGAATACAAATGAAACCTTAAACTACTAAGCGTAAGAGTTGGTGGAAATGAGAAGAGAAGAGGTGTTGTTTTGTGTTGAGCTGCAGGCCAGGGGAGGTTTGGCTGATTAATATTCCATGGTGTTTCGGTGCAGTGGAGAGAAATTAGGGTCATGATGGAAGTGATATTCTGGCTGCCTGCAGCCCTGAACTTTCGGACAACAGAGAAGGGATGGCTGATAGAAGGACCAAGAGAGAAGACACTATTGGTCTCACTGAATAATATTCTATGGTATTGACATTTAGTCATCTGTGCCCATACTCTCAGAGTAGGATCTGTTTGGACTTTAATATTATAATGAATAAGATTACATGGACAAACAGGGCCTGATCCTAGATCAACACTGCTACTCTGAGATGCTTTATGAATACGGGCACTGAGCAACAAGCCTGGTCACCCCATGCCAGTTACCCTGACAGCAAACAGAATTGGGGCACAGCACAGCAACTAAATGTTAGCACGCTACCTGCAATTTAACACACTGTGCTTTTCAAAATGCAAATCCAATACTTGCACAGGTGTCCTCAATGAATTCCGACATAACCATTACTCGATTGACTGTCGAGTAACCATTCAAATACTGCCTTCTGACGTAGGACAGTGACCCAAGACATCTGAGGGTAAAACGTCTAAAACAACTTCTAAAAAGTTAATGCAATAAGCATGTTATGAGGTAGACACTGCTGTCCAACTGTGTGTGTATTCAAGTGTGAATTGTCTTACAAATAACTGTTTCACATTCATTTAGTCACATTATTACGCACAGAATAAACTGAAACTTTGTTGAGTGAGCAGTAGGCACGTTCTTTGTTTGGTCTCGCTACATTTTGAAGAGACCAAATACAGTACCTTGAGGCACTCCCTTTCCATTACCTTCACACTACTATACTGTCTCCCCTAAATCTTTCTACCCTGGGAGCACCTACAGTCAAAAACCATTACAGCACCTTTCTCCCTTCCGAGGCGGTCACCATTTACATTATTCATAATGCATAAATCAATCCATAGTCACCACTCAGATACTTTTCCACAGCCACCTCTCTACTCAACACAGAAAATCCCAAGGCAATGCATTTACAGTGCACTTCAATGCTTGATAACAGCATTTTACACACGCGTACGCACGCACACCAACTTAATACATTTTTATGCTTCTTGGAGTGGTCCTACCACTAACAGCCTCCTTGCACAGACCCAGAGAAGTGCCACTAGAATCAGTCTATCCAATGAACACTATGACACTGCAGATTTCCATGGTGAGTGGTCTCTACTTTCTATCAAACCTGGGTTCAAATGCTACTTGAAATCTTTCAAATACTTTGAGAATTTACTTCTGCCTGCCTGGAGTGCAAGATGGGCAGCGTTTGCACTTTTGCGACTTTTCTAATGGTACCATTATGCCAGGCAAGCTCAATCAAACACAGCTAAAGTATTTTAAATGCTTTCGAATAGTATTTGAGCCTAGGTCTGCTATGGGTAGATAGAGACAAACAGTGAAAAGCAGAGGGTTGAGCAGGCCAGGCCAGGGCCTAGAAAGTGGGACAGACAAGTTTCAGGAATCTGAGGCATGCTGGTCATGTACACTGGGGTGTCCAGTACACACTGTCTGTCTGTGTGTCTGCCACTTACTCCATGACCTAGCTATCTAGGCACTCTGTGTCCTCATGCCCTGCGTGTGTCAAACAGTGTCTGTGATCTTGTGTGTATATCCCTGCAAGACACAGAAGACAGGAAAGCTACTGTAACACTCAAAACCCAATACAAACGCTGCAAAGATCACATAGGCACAATCGTATTACACACAAACAACCACACTCATTGAATTAAATCTTACATCTTATCTTAAATGACAGGTTAAGAATCAACAGGCCGCAGAGCAGCTCTAATATGTCTCACTGTGTCTTCCTGTCGGAGACAGAGGAGGACTGAGGAGTGTTGTGGTTCCAAAATAAGATATGTAGAGCTCTATGTTAAATGGCCATTTCCGATCACCTCACTTATTTATGGTATGCCATCTAAGCCAAGCCTATTACTGCCAGGAACCACAAAAGCTCTCCAGGGAGAGACCAGTGACCAAATGTGCATGCTCAGGGCAAGGGAGTACTAATGCTATATTACTGAATGTCATATCAAATCAAATGCTTCGGAAACAACAGGTGAAGAATAACAGTGAAATGCTGTTACAACAATGCAGAGAGAAAAAAAGAGAAATATAAAAATAATAACACAAGGAATAAATACACGAGTAACGATAACTTGGTTATATACACGGGGTACCAGTACCGAGTTGATGTGCAGGGGTACGAGGTAATTGAGGTAGATATGTACATATAGGTAGGGATAAACTAAAGTCACTAGGCAACAGGATAGATAATAAACACTAGCAGCAGCATATGTGATGAGTCAAAAGAGTTAGCGCAAAAAGGGTCAATGCAGATAGATAAATAGTTCACCAATAGCTAGCTACCTGGACTAACTATTTAGCAGTCGTATGGCTTGGGGGTAGAAGATGTAAGAGGGTCATGTTGGTTCCAGACTTGATGCATCAGTACTGCTACTGCACAGCAAGCGGAGAGAACAGTCTATGACATGGGTGGCTGGAGTCTTCAACCATTTTTAGGGCCTTCCTCTGACACCGCCTTGTATAGAGGTCTTGGATGGCAGGGAGCTCGGCCCCAGTGAAATACTGGGCCGTACGCACCACCCTCTGTAAAAATGTTCCCTCTAAGCTGCGCGCGCAGGTGCAGAAGACATATCAGCCCACAGAGAGAGAAGCATGAGATTGAACTTCATTCAACTTTCTAGAGCAGTGGTCACCAACCAGTCAATCGTGACCTCCCAAGGCATTCCAGAGGTGGTCCTCTGTAGCTCAATTGGTAGAGCATGGCGCTTGTAACGCCAGGGTAGTGGGTTCGATCCCCGGGACCACCCATACGTAAAAATGTATGTGCACATGACTGTAAGTCGCTTTGGATAAAAGCGTCTGCTAAATGGCATATTATAATTATTATTCCTAGTGGATCGTCCAATATTTCTGTAAAAACCTTGTGTTCCTATTTTTTTTTTTAAACCTTGTGTTCCTATTTTTTTAAATAATCTTGGGCCGTTAGCGTTAGGTGCACCTGATTCAGCTGCCCTGTGTGCCGGGTAGGCGAACTGTTGCCATTTTGAACCATTTCATGTGTCTGAAGGTACAAACTCTGCCTTCCCGGCGGGCCCGGAGAGCAAATCAAGTGCACTATAGGCCTACCGCTGGCCAATCGTATGGCTCAGATTACCGTGTCTGCAGTAACGTAGCAGGCACAAAAGAAAGCTACAGCAAAGTTGATCCTATGAGATTTCTAAATCTATGAGTGAGTTCATGTTTAAGTTCTTTCTAAGCACTGTCAACACTTTGTATTCAACACTTTTATAAGCCATAAAATGCGCATTCTTCCTATTTCCACTCAGCGCTACAACAAGCACTGTAGCAGTAATGAATGAGTAGGAAAGTGTATCTATAGGCTTACATTGTTATTATTAATGGCTTGGGTCTTTTTTAATATCGAGGAAAATTCCACTTTTTTATTTATTTAACTAGGCAAGTCACTTAAGAACAAATTCTTATGTGCATAAGGCCTCATCCGGTGATGGGGCTTGGATTAAAAATAAATAAAATATAGGACAAAACACACATCACGACAAGAGAGACACCACAACACTACATAAAGAGAGACCTAAGACAACCACACAGCATGGTAGCAACACTTTCTCTGTTCATGGGAGTAACAACAACGAAATAATGCGGTGTGACTCGAGTTTCGCCATGAGCTAGAAGACGGTGCGGTGTCCCTTTTCGGTCAGTGTCAGCGGAGGAAAGGGATGAGCGGAGGGATGTTGAGAGGCAGGACCCTCAGTCTGCTGCTCTCTCCCTCCGCTGAGACTGACCATCAGATGCAGTCACTATGAGCCCAATAAAATAAAAAGTTAATTATTTAAATGTATGCTCCCTCAGCTGTGCCTCACAAGTAATACAACAACAGATCTATTACCGGTGTGATCATATAGCCTACCTCAAACTTTGAAATATAATTTTTTTAAATGTCCCGAACAACAATGCATTGGCAGAACAATTCAAGCAAAGCCAATAATGTATTGGGCCTATAGCTTACTGCACAAACCTTATTGCTACAGTACTGTTTTTAATTGGTTAATGTTGCATAGGCTTACCTTTGTAAGTCATGTAAAAAAAAAGATTTTCTATAGATCTCATCTTGCATTTTGACTCAGAAAGTGATCTTGCCACAGAAAAGGTTGGTGACCACTGTTCTAGAGTTTATCCTGTTAACACTATCAACGTTTCCGTTTACTGTGGCAATTGTGATCAAATCAATATTAGCCATTTTCAATGCAACATACCGAAACAAAACGAACTATGCAAGAGATTTTGGTGTAGGCAGAATGCATCGGAGTAGGATTCGATTGCATTGACACGCACTACTCAGCCTGTACTCTACACAGACCGGTGCAGCATAAACAATCAGAGCTGCAGTAGGCCTATATGCCAATAGACCATTGCCATATATGGATCTGTGCCATTTACTTTGAACTGGACTGTGTTTACAGCATGAGCGGTTGTGAGTAGATGAGCTTGTTTTGAGATCTAAGTGAAAGCTGCATGTTGCCACGTGTGCACATTGTGTTCATATCCTTTGCTAGGTAGTGAGTTATTAGCCCAGTTATAGATCATTTGTAGTCCGCAATAGGGAAGTGATTGCTTCCCACAAGAGCACAAAACATGTACATTTCTAGACATATTTGAAAAGTTAGTCAGGTAAAGAGCTTTTTTTTGTCTTAAAGGGTCAGTGTAGTATTTTGAGACAGGCTTGAATAAGCTAAGTAGCCAATAGGCAGAGGGTAGCATGATTTGTCTGATTCTCTGTAATAATGGTATGGGAATAATAATGCATTTTATTTTGTAAAGTGTTTTTTTTTGCATCACACAACACAACATTTTCTGTCACCTCCTTGTCTGAAGGACAAGTGGATAAACAGGTTAATTCAAATCAAAGCACTTCACATAAAAATGACTTATGTGATACCTTTGATTAAAAATTACACAAAAAGCCCCAAGGCCTGACAAAAATGAAAAAATATTTTTCTTATACATTTTTTTGGGCACCCTGACAATCAAAAAACACAAAAAAAACATGTATGTTTGTTGTGTGTGTGTGTGCCACATCCCTGTCTGTTGGCTACCTGTTCTTCACCCTCCAGCTCATGTGATTGTGAGGCGGCGTCATCATGCAGGCATTGAGGAACAAAGAGCGATGAGGTTGTCTCATCCACAACGCAAACATATGACTCAAAGTATGACTAAAATTCCTCCCACAAACATTACTCAATTACAGCTGAGAAGAGATTTTGTCTTTGGAAGCAAACCATCACATAAGGCAATGGGAATGTGAAACTAAGAATTCCCCTAGCCTGGTCCCAGATTTGTTTGTGCTGTCTTTAGTGCTTTGCCAACTCCTATGGTCATTGTCACGCCAAACAATTACCATAGGATTTAGCAAGAAAACCGATATTGCACCAGGTTTGGATTCCCACTATCCACAGCAAAGCACATGGGTAAAACCCATGTACAGTTGAAGTCGGAAGTTTACATACACCTTAGCCAAATACATTTAAACTCTGTTTTTCACAATTCCTGACATTTAATACTAGTAAAAATTCCCTGTCTTAGGTCAGTTAGGATCACCACTTTTTGGTGATGTGAAATGTCAGAATAACAGTAGAGAGAATGATTTATTTCAGCTTTTATTTCTTTCATCACATTCCCAGTGGGTCAGAAGTTTACATGCACTCAATTAGTATTTGGTAGCATTGCCTTTACATTTTTTTACTTGGGTCAAACGTTTCGGGTAGCCTTCCACAAGCTTCCCACAATAAGTTGGGTGAATCTTGGCCAATTCCTCCTGACAGAGCTGGTGTAACTGAGTCAGGTTTGTAGGCCTCCTTGCTCGCACACGCTTTTTCATTTCTGCCCACACATTTTCAATAGGATTGAGGTCAGGGCTTTGTGATTGCCACTCCAATACCTTGACTTTGTTGTCTTTAAGCCATTTTGCCACAACTTTGGAAGCAAGCTTGGGGTCATTGTCCATTTGGAAGACCCATTTGCAACCAAGCTTTAACTTCCTGACTGATGTCTTGAGATGTTGCTTCAATATATCCACATAATTTTCCTTCCTCATGATGCCATCTATTTTGTGAAGTGAACCAGTCCCTCCTGCAGCAAAGCACCCCCACAGCATGATGCTGCCACCCCCGTGCTTCACGGTTGGGATGGTGTTCTTCAGCTTGCAAGCTTTCCCCTTTTTCCTCCAAACATAACGATGGTCATTATGGCCAAACAGCTCTATTTTTGTTTCATCAGACCAGATGACATTTCTCAAAAAAGTACGATCTTTGTCCCCATGTGCAGTTGCAAACCGTAATCTGTCTTTTTTATGGCGGTTTTGGAGCAGTGGCTTCTTCCTTGCTGAGCGGCCTTTCAGGTTATGTCGATATAGGACTCGTTTTACTGTGGATATAGATACTTTTGTACCTTTTTCCTCCAGCATCTTCACAAGGTCCTTTGTTGTTGTTCTGGGATTGATTTGCACTTTTCGCACCAAAGTACGTTCATCTCTAGGAGACAGAACACGTCTCCATCCTGAGCGGTATGAGGGCTGCGTGGTCCCAGAGTGTTTATACTTGCGTACTATTGTTTGTACAGATGAACGTGGTACCTTCAGGCGTTTGGAAATTGCTCCAAAGGATGAACCAGACTGGTGGAGGTCTACAATTATTTTTCTGAGGTTTCTGATTTCTTTTGATTTTCCCATGATGTCAAACAAAGAGGCACAGAGTTGAAGGTAGGCCTTGAAATACATCCACAGGTACACCTCCAATTGACAAATGATGTCAATTAGCCTATCAGAAGCTTCTAAAGCCATGATATCATTTTCTGGAATTTTCCAAGCTGTTTAAAAGGCACAGTCAACTTAGTGTATGTAAACTTCTGACCAACTGGAATTGTGATACAGTGAATTATAAGTGAAATAATCTGTCTGTAAACAATTGTTGGAAAAATTACTTGTGTCATGCACAAAGTAGATGTCCTAACCGACTTGCCAAAACTATAGTTTGTTAACAAGAAATTTGTGGAGTGGTTGAAAAATGAGTTTTAATGACTCCAACCTAAGTGTATGTAAACTTCCGACTTCAACTGTAGATCCTTGTCCCAGGACATCAACCAATTAGATCAGATACAAACACAGTGGGTCACTCATATGCACCCAAATATCAAATCCCTGGTATTATCATGGGTACTGGCATGGCCCAGGACATGATGGAAATATAGGACAGGGAGGGAATAAAATATTCATAGATCTAAGTATTGCTCTCTCAAGCACATCTCTCTTCCCGTCTCCTGCCAAACCAGGCAAAAAAGGACAGAGCACAGCAAGACAATCACTGGTAGTAAATCGGGGCTTGTGATATGTGGACTTGGAACTGACTTGCAAAATAGAAGCCCATGCTTAAAAATAGACTTCAAACTGAACTTGCCAGAAAAAGAGCACTGAGTAAACAGGGTGGGAACTCTCGCTTGGTTCTCCTGCAAAATGGAAATGAGGCAAACAACAGGCTAGGAAATAGCTGTGGGTCCCGAGCCGTGAAATCAGAGTGGAAAGGGAAAAGGGCTGCTCCGAACAACAGTAAAGAGGAACTCGGGAGGCCGAAAGAGAATAAGTCTGCATCTCATTTGAATGGGACAGGGAACTAATGAATTACCTCACCGTCACCCCCCTAGCGCCTCTCTCGGCCCTCACACTCTCACCCCGGATGGGGTGATGTAAGGGGCTATGGTGGGGCCCCAGACACACTAGAAGCGCAGTGTAAACAACAACCACCAATTCTGTGCCAGAAGGCTCTCACTGTGTTAGTGTTGGTTTGTGTGTGTGCGTGCGTGGTCATGCTGGGGTTTAAAAGTTCCAGCTATCGGGCTTGCCAGCCTGCCAAATGAGTGTATTTGTACTTTGTTTTCAAGTTCCTAAAGTTCAAGCGACGACAGGTGTGAGAGAGAAATAGATAACAGATAAATCACTAATTCACGTGTACACAGTTTCACTCTGCATTAGCACAATCAACACAACATTGCAGGTTACTTTTTAACTCGACAAAATTGAATTACTTGCTTGTGACCACCATTATACATACAACAAATGAGAGAAGAAATGTGTGCAGGGTTTACAATGTAACTAAACTAACTGAGGTTGAAAGATTCTTGGGCCTCCAACATCTAGAAATGGCAACTTATGGCCTAGTTAAGAAAAATAATGCTTACAAAGCATGATTTGGGGCCAAAAACACCTTTTAAAGGCAGTCTCTCATAGCATATCAATTTGCCTGTTAACAGTCATGTCTCTGTTAGGGTCTCTGCCACGGCTTTCCTACTGTCACCTGTCATGGATGTGGAACAATGCCTGGCATTTTGCAAGCCACTTTCCTCCCAAGCGCTGTCATCCTTTTCAAAGCCATTGTGGTGATGAAATGCCCAGCAGACGCGCACACACACACACACACACCAGTATCTGACTGGTTGAGACACCCAGACCCATCAGTAATAGAGAGTGATAGGACCGTCACACTCAAGCCACCGTCAACTGGATATCTGGGCCGTGCGGCTGGGCAGCCACCCATTCATAACTGAGCACTCTATCGGCATGCCGACCCGTCACCCGTGGCAACCTGCTCCACCTCCCCTTGGGGGTTGAGAGAGGCAGCCCAGTTTAATCCTCCACTGGTCTATGCGAGGTGGCCTCATAGCACCACACACACCCGTCACAACGCGTTTACACAGCAGCAGCATGGGGCATTAGCTAGGAGGAGTTACTGTTTAGTGGCTGTAAATGGGGTGGTTTTAAGTTTTGATGTGTACAAACCCTCTACAAACAAACTCAACTGATTGTGGCAAAGCCCCCTTAATTGAACAATCAATATTTAATGGAGCATTTGAAGGCACAGTCCTCAAGATGTATCCGACTAGCAGGGTATACATCGACAACTTCACTGTTCTAGGAAGTGAGTAGTAACTGGCTGGGTAATATACAAAATGGACATATCAAAAACAATACGAAAAATAAATAATAAGGGAATGAAAAGGAAAAACCAGTAACAAAGTGTAATGCCATAGTGAAATTACAGTAACATCACATTCCAAGACCGTAGAGACTTAACTGGTTAGATCGAGGGGGTTTACATCAGATTCAGTTTAAATAGTAATGCTTACAAGAGACTTCAATCACATTACCTTGTTGTTGGCCAGATGCCCACATAGCTGTGCCTGGATGGCTGGTTAGTCAAACCCGCATTGAACATCTCTGCTATCTGCCATTCCTCTTCTCTCTGTACATCCCCAACGCGTGAGTGACACAGCCAAAATTCCTACTCTCCCAGAGGGTTAGGTTTCTAACTCAGCAGTGATTTGGAGCCAACAGACAGAGATGAACAAAAGAGCTGGTTCAAACGTTTTCTCTGTGGAAAACCGAACTACAATGCTAAATTCCACAAGCTTACATATAACATAGCTAGATCATACATTGATGAAAACCAGGCACCACTATTGGTGTCATTTTGTGTCATTAAGACTTTGTTGACAGTTGCTGAAGATAGAGATCTCTGGGACTGTGTGTGTTCCTGCGTGTTCCTACACTACCAGTCAAAAGTTTGGACACACCTACTCATTCAAGGGTTTGTCTTTATTTTTACTATTTTCTACATTGTAGAATAATAGTGAAGACATCAAAACTATGAAATAACACATATGGAATCATGTAGCAACCAAAAAAGTGTTAAACAAATCAAAATGTCTTTTATATTTGAGATTCTTCAAATAGCCAGCCTTTGCCTTGATGACAGCTTTGCACACGCTTGGCATTCTCTCAACCAGCTTCACCTGGAATGCTTTTCCAACAGTCTTGAAGGAGTTCATATATATATATGCTGAGCACTTGTTGGCTGCTTTTCCTTCACTCTGCGGTCCAACTCGTCCCAACCGGGGGATTGTGGAGGCCAGGTCATCTGATGCTGGTTAAGAGTGCCTTGAATTCTAAATAAATCACATATCACCAGCAAAGCACCCCCACACCATAACAACTCCTCCATGCTTTACGGTGGGAAATACACATGCAGAGATCATCCATTCACCCACACCACGTCTCACAAAGCCACGGCTGTTGGAACCAAAAATCTCAAATTTGGACTCCAGACCAAAGGACAAATTTCCACCGGTCTTATGTCCATTGCTCGTGTTTCTTGGCCCAAGCAAGTCTCATCTTCTTATTGGTGTCCTTTAGTAGTGGTTTCTTTGCAGCAATTCGAACATGAAGGCCTGATTCACACAGTCTCCTCTGAACAATTGATGTGTCTGTTACTTGAACTCTGTGAAGCATTTATTTGGGCTGCAATTTCTGAAGCTGGTAACTCTAATGAACATATCCTCTGCAGCAGAGGTAACTCTGGGTCTTACATTCCTGTGGCGGTCCTCATGAGAGCCAGTTTCATCATAGCGCTTGATGGTTTTTGCGACTGCACTTGAAGAAACTTTCAAAGTTCTTTACATTTTATGGATTGGCTGACCTTCATGTCTTAAAGTAATGATGGACTGTCATTTCTCTTTGCTTATTTCTTGCCGTAATATGGACTTTGTCTTTTACCAAACAGGGCTATCTTCTGTATAACCCCCCTACCTTGTCACAACACAACTGATTGGCTCAAAAGCATTAAGAAGGAAAGAAATTCCACAAATTAACTTTTAAGAAGGCACACCTGTTAATTGAAATGCATTCCAGGTGACTATCTCATGAAGCTGGTGGATAGAATGCCAAGAGTGTGCAAAGCTGTCATCAAGGCAAAGGCTGGCTACTTTGAAGAATCTCAAAATATAAAATACATTTGGATTTGTTTAACACTTTTTTGGTTACTACATGATTCCATATGTGTTATTTCATAGTTTTGATGTCTTCACTATTATTCTACAATGTAAAAATAGTAAAAAATAAAGAAAAACCCTTGAATGAGTAGCTGTGTCCAAACCTTTGACTGGTAGTGTAGGTGGGAGGATGACAGAGGTTGTTTCGTTCAAACATAGTCATTTTCAGTGCCATTACTTCAGGCCAAACAACATCAGGTTCCAACAGTAATCAAGTGAACAGTCTCAACGCCAAACATACAATTAAGGAGAGTCCAAAAGTCCTTGTTCGTTAGTGTATAGTGTATAGGGTTTTTAAGGTCCCACCCAACCATTCAGAGATTCTCTGCATGCTGGCAAGAGCTCTAATTATAGGTTCCACAAGAACACAAAAGACCATAAGGGTAATGTGTAATCTCTCAAAGCCTAGACTCTTAGAAAAAAAGTGTTCCAAAAGGGTTATTTGTCTGACCCATAGGAGAAACCTTTTTGGTTCCAGGTAGAAACCAGTTGAGTTCCATGAAGAACCCTCTGTGGAAAGGGTTTTACACGGAACTCAAAAGGGTTCTACCTGGAGCCAAAAGGGTTCTACTTGGAACCAAAAAGGGTTCTTCAAAATTTCCTGCAAAAATTCTAGGTTTAGTGCCAAAAGGAGCCCTTGTTCAATATTCTCCAATGGGAGAATTGTTTTTCCTGTCATCCCGCCCATTAAGTGCTGTCAATACATTTCACCCAACATACCAGTTCACAGCCAATCAGAGCTGCTAACAGGGGTAGAGGGTCTGTCTGCCCGTCTGTCGGCTCTTTCACCACAGATGAGATCACTACGTTGCCTGATACACCAGAGCGTGCTTTGCTTAACTCAGTGGTGAAACCCACCATGGACTCAGCTATGGCTATCATAAACTTTATCCGATCAACTTGCATGCAACATCGCTTGTTGCGTAGTCTGCTGAGCATCCTGATCTACTTTTACGTAATGATGTTCGGTGGCTAAGCAAGGGTAATAACGCTGTCAAGAGAGCAGCCTATGTGAGCTTAGGGAGGAAATAGTTGCTTTTCTCCACGATTGCCGCCACAAGAAAGCCAACACATATCTAGCAAAAATGCTTGATGAGGAGTTCGTATCAAATGTTAGTTTTTTTGTGACATCTACAATCAATTGAATACACTTAATTTGAGACTACAGGGGAGGGATAAAACCGTTAGACATGATTGACTTATTTTTTTCTCCTCTGATTTGAGCCCAAACAAAATGCCAAATTTCCCTACACTGCGCAACTATATTCAGTCATCATCAGTACAAATCACTCCTGTGATGTCAGAGTTTTTAGATAAACTGAAAGCTAACTTTGCAACTCGATTTGACGAGTTTAAGTGTCCACAGAGGTTGTGCAGTTTGTTATATGGACCCATTCTCTACTGATGGGGAGGGATAGAGACTTCTCCGCAAAAGCTAGTCAACTGAAATATGCCATGCATAAAATGTTTCTTATCTGTAAAAAATAAACAGAAGACAGAGAAAATAATGAAATAATATTGAAATAGAAAATAGAACAGAATGTGATGCTGGTCAACTGAGATATGCCATTCAAGGTTTCAAAAGATGAAGCTACAGTGGGGAGAACAAGTATTTGATACACTGCCGATTTTGCAGGTTTTCCTACTTACAAAGCATGTAGAGGTCTGTAATTTTTATCATATGTACACTTCAACTGTGAGAGACAGAATCTAAAACAAAAATCCAGAAAATCACATTGTATGATTTTTAAGTAATTAATTTGCATTTTATTGCATGACATAAGTATTTGATCACCTACCAACCAGTAAGAATTCCGGCTCTCACAGACCTGTTAGTTTTTCTTTAAGAAGCCCTCCTGTTCTCCACTCATTACCTGTATTAACTGCACCTGTTTGAACTCGTTGCCTGTATAAAAGACACCTGTCCACACACTCAATCAAACAGACTCAAACCTCTCCACAATGGCCAAGACCAGAGAGCTGTGTAAGGACATCAGGGATAAAATTGTAGACCTGCACAAGGCTGGGATGGGCTACAGGACAATAGGCAAGCAGCTTGGTGAGAAGCAACAACTGTTGGCGCAATTATCAGAAAATGGAAGAAGTTCAAGATGACGGTCAATCACCCTCAGTCTGGGGCTCCATGCAAGATCTCACCTCGTGGGGCATCAATTATCATGAGGAAGGTGAGGGATCAGCCCAGAACTACACGGCAGGACCTGGTCAATGACCTGAAGAGAGCTGGGACCACAGTCTCAAAGAAAACCATTAGTAACACACTACGCCGTCATGGATTAAAACCTGCAGCGCACGCAAGGTCCCCCTGCTCAAGCCAGCGCATGTCCAGGTCCGTCTGAAGTTTGCCAATGACCATCTGGATGATCCAGAGGAGGAATGGGAGAAGGTCATGTGGTCTGATGAGACAAAAATAGAGTTTGGAGGAAGAAGGATGAGTACAACCCCAAGAACACCATTCCAACCATGAAGCATGGAGGTGGAAACATCATTCTTTGGGGATGCTTTTCTGCAAAGGGGACAGGATGACTGCACCGTATTGATGGGAGGATGGATGGGGCCATGTATCGCGAGATCTTGGCCAACAACCTCCTTCCCTCAGTAAGAGCATTGAAGATGGGTCGTGGCTGGGTCTTCCAGCATGACAACGACCCGAAACACACAGCCAGGGCAACTAAGGAGTGGCTCCGTAAGAAGCATCTCAAGGTCCTGGAGTGGCCTAGCCAGAAAAGTCCGTATTGCCCAGCGACAACCCCGAAACCTGAAGGATCTGGAGAAGGTCTGTATGGAGGAGTGGGCCCTGCTGCAGTGTGTGCAAACCTGGTCAAGACCTACAGGAAACGTATGATCTCTGTAATTGCAAA